TTTGGCTTGACAGCGATGCGTTCAGCTGTAACAACTTGAGATGCGATTCATACGAATGGGGTACTACTCATAGAGAACACACGTACACACGGCAGAAGGAAGCGTTTCCGCTTGCATCAAGGGTGCCCACATATTATTGACAAGAATAGAACTAGCAAATGATTTTATCATCTTTGGATCTACATATGGAACCGCAGAATCTTCCAGAATTTATGATTTTAAGGATGTAGATGGTCAGCTTTGGCTGAGACATAACCTACTGCGATTGGAGGATGATCCCCAAGCCCTCTGCGTATCCCATAGTCGGAAAATCGATTAGTTCTAGCTTTCTTACTTGTTTCTATCTAGTTGGGGGTCGGGCAAAGGGAGTGGGATTAGGGCTTTGGCTATCCGTTCCATGCGCTGGATGCGTAATTTGAATTATTGCGAATTTCATTGCAATTCCTTCCAGGCCATGCACTTGAGTCACTGGCGGAGGCAGATGGAGGCGAGGCTAGGCCCCAAATTAGCCAAGTGTGAGGCTGCTATTTCTGCTGCTGCTGCTGCTGTTGCTCTGCACTGCAACGATAAGCTTGCACCGCCTCGAAATGGGTTTTATGAAAAACAATAAGGATGAGCAGAAATCGCTGCTTTCTGGTGCATTGAAGCCGCAACAAAAAGGATGTTGCTGCAACTGCGTGCGTGATCCTTGGCAAGGGGATGATCCAAAGAATTGTGCAGGCAACCGGAAACGGGAAGATATACTCGTATGCAAAACTGCCTTCCATCATTTCCATCTGTATCTGCATCGCTGTGTATCCCTCTAAGTGTGTTTGGGCATTTTGGCTTTTCGGGTTCGCCACAATTCATTACGATGGTGGGGGGCGTGGTTCACAGCAATGGGGCCCCCCCCGGTTGCGATTTGCGGTTTCTATGGAGTCAGAGCGCCGTAATGGCTGCGGCTTCGACCTCAGCTCTCCGGCTTGTTTATGGTGCGGCTTCTTTGATTGTCAGCTGACTATTCCGCCAGAGGCATAATTGCTGCTTACGTCAGGCCCCTAGGCCCCGGGCCCCAGGACCAGTGCTGCGGTCCAGACACAGGGGCACACAGCGGAATATTAAATTTAATGATGGAATTTTACAGTGGTTTGTCAGGTCGTCGTCGTCGCACACGGGTCCCAACCGCGTCCAAGTTGCTTCCCTGATAATTTGACAATCCTTGCGTCAATAGCCATGACAATGATTATGCCACCGACAAAAAAAAACTTTTCGGTCGTCTTTGTTTCCTTAGTGACTCTGCGAACTACGGACTCTGGACTAACCTCCGCGCTTACACCTTCCTCTTCGTATTCCGTCTCTCGCTCTCGCTCTCTCTCGCTCTCCCTCTCTCTTTCCCACTCTTTTTCTGCCTCCCAAAAGTTTAGCAAACAAAACTTTTCCATTTACTCGGCCAGATGAACTGTTCGAGTACTTGTGACGTGCATTTCCACGCTGTCGCCATTGAGGTTTGTTCCTTTTGACGGCCATCGCTGCCATCTGGAAAGAACAGTCTCGTCCCCCAGGTAAGGTAAGGCAAGGAAGGAGGGGCGGCCACTTTTGTCACCTGCATTTACAAAGAAAACTAAAAGAAAAACAGAACCAATTGAATGATAGTTGCATTTGTATACCCTTGAAATGCACTGGGAATGTAAAATATTAAATATTTAGTTAATATTTATAAATTTATTATATTTCATTAGAAAAAATATTACTTATACAAAACAAAAAGCCTTAGAAGTTTCATAGCACACGGCTTGAAGAGTTTCCTATTAAATAGCATTAGGAGTTTCATGGCAAACAGCTTGTAAAGTTTCACAGCTTTTCAGCTTTAGGAATTGCACCGAGAAAGAAAGAAATTATATTTTCATAGCAGACAGCTTTTGTGCAGCCACACTATCTTAAACTCTTTTGATAAAAATACTTAGGCTTGCTGTCTCTGGTGGCAGAGTATTATTGTATGCCACATGCCACGCGGCAACTGCTTTTCGAGCTGCCAAAAAACTTTGGTGTCCTGCAGGTTTTATTCGTACTTACTTGCCCGGCCCGCCGCCCCATCCCACATATTAATCGAAGGCCCATCACGGCCAGGCTTCGCTTGCTTGCCCGTTTGTTGAATCAATTTGCGGCAACAATTTGCGAGGAGCAGCACTGGAAGTGGAAACTGAAGTGGAGGTGGCAATGGAAGCTAAAGTTTCCGTAAAAGTCGCAGGCAGAATAGGAAGCCGGGCAAGTGGATGTCGAAAGGGAATAAATCAATCAATTGCAGCAAAAGAATACTTTCGGCCACGCCCTCTTTTCCGGCCGGCGTACATTTCCATTGTTTTTGTTTTTTGTTTGTTTTTTTTGTTTGGCGGAACTAATTAACTTCCATTTAAATGAAAAACGAGCTGCTATTTGTGAAGCCCATCGAATGAGCGTCATAAAGTCAGTCAGGAGAGAATAATGGCCCGCCCCATCCGGTGGCACTTCATGCGCCACGCACCCACATGTCCGTGCAATGGGGCGTATACGTAATTTGAAGGAGGCATAAGGCAGAACGCGTCCTGCCCAACGTGCTGAGATGCTGTTAAAATTAATGCCAGCTCGTAAGTTTTGCAAGGAATTCAATTTTGTTGTTTTTGTTGTCATTTTTTTATTCTTCTGTTTCTCTACCACACCGGCCGGATAGCAAGACGGATAGTGGTGTGGAGAAGTGCTTTCCTTTATTGGAGGAGTCCTGCCTGTCAATGGAAAGTTTTGCCATTAAATTGTCTTTTGTCGCCCCTTAATCGGTTCAGCCTTTTTTGCCACAGGATCTCAGGAATAAGGAAGCCTCCTGAACTGAACACTGAGCCACTGAAAAGGAAAAGCACTTTGAATGATTTTGGTATTCATTTTTCGTTTTTTATATTTTTATTCAATTATTAACAGATCTCGTTTTAAAAATGCAAATAGGTTTCATATGCATTACATTCCATATTTTTTCGGTATTTCGTTCCTTCGAGAGTTTTTTTTGTTGCTTTTCTTCGTTTTTTTTTTTACGTTTTTTATACAATTTATCAGAGATGGCGATTGCGTCTATAAACTATGCATTTTGTTGTGGTGTGTGTGTGTGTGTGTGTGTGTGTGTGTGTGTGTGTGTGTGTGTGTGTGTTATTCCTTATAGATCTTATGCTTTATTTAATTATTGTTTTCCCCTGGCGGCTACTGTACAATGCTCTAGCCTTTGTCTATAGTTAATCTCAGAGTTTAAACATACATACAATACAGACTAAGTACAATTTAATAAACAAACACTCACATTCCATTCCATTGCCCTGTTACACTTTAAGCTTAGGTTTGAATTAACATTTAACATTAATGTTTCATCTTAAATCTTTAATCTAGATTCTGGTATTTCAAGTCTTGTGTGTCTTCTGTTTGAATTTTACTCTCAAATGATAGATTGGGGCTACAATACATAGATGGGTGTAACTTAAGCTTAATCATACATACATACATACAACAATTGAAAATTTATTTATTTAAATAGAGAGTGAGAGAGAGAGACAGAGGGAAACAATTAAGCAGCACATTGTTTTTATTTTTTTTTTTTTTTTCTTTGTTTAACAAATATATCTCTTTGGCAAAAACGTACAAATCGAACAACTTGGATAATTCGTTAATTGTTTTCAACATAATAATTATCTACAATAAGTCTTATTTCGTTAAATGGTAAATCCTAAACTAATATGAACTATAAATATAAATACGTATTCAGATCAAAAACAATGACAAACCAAACACAAAACACAATCGCCAGAGTTACTCTCCTTCAGAAGCATGTGCGGGGAAGACATACAAGATTCGGGCGCACTGGGGCGTTAATAATGGTAAGATATAAAGATACTTTTACAAGATACTCGGTACTATCCAATTAATAATTGAATATTGAGTGTAATCGCTTAGAAGCGCATTATTCAATCAGTTCCACTGGACCACGGACACAAATTCGGTGCACAAATTTCCCTTTAAGCGAGAACGGCATCCACGAATGTGTATGTGCTGCCAATGGAACTGTGGTATCAGTTATAGCTATATATATTTATCTATATAGTACTATATGTTCTGTCAAGCACCGAAATGTTTTGGTTCGGGGTTGAGAGCGGGATTCTAAGAGAGAGAGAGAGTTGTGAGTCGCGAGATTCTATGCTACGTTTTTTGCATTTGACATTGCAATCTGCAATGTTTTTTTTTTGTGTTTTGCATGTGGCTGTGTGTGTGTGTGTGTATCGATATACCTGCATTTATCCTTTCATTATCGTTAATCGTTTATAGTTAATTGTCGTATATAGGTAATCGTTCATCGCTTGTTATCGCTAATAGTATGTTACAATTGGAAAAGTGTTTAATTTATTTATATATATTTTTTTTTGTATATTTTTGGCTTGCTGATTGGATGAGTAGTTCTGACATTGAATTCGGGTTTTTTTTACTGCGTTTCTTAGCTACTTATATTTATCTATATTCTACACATTTCACACACGAGTAAATGCTAATTGTTAATGCAATTTTGGCCGCACTAAGAGATGGGTAATAAGCTATACAATACACGTATCTATAAGTTATAGAGAGTGGGCTAATATCCCATTTGTATCCTACCAGTGTGTATCCCTGTGTCTGTCTTTGGCTGGCGGCAGCGTTCCCGATTCCATTCCCATATTCGTTGTTTTTCTCAAAAATTGAATTAATATTTATGGGGCATATGGGCATTCAACAGCAGGCTATGATCTGCCCTCCCTTCCATCCATCCTTCCACCCACAGCATTATAATGCCTCGAATTTTCCTGCTCATTTAACTTTTATCTGTGGCAAGTGCAATCACAATTATTCAATAGCGGAAATCCTCAGCAGAAAAGGATGTGATACGTACGTACAATGTGTGGGCGTGTTGCATATACACACAGATACACAGATTACACACACAGACGCATACAATAGTGGCTTCATTTTCATTTTCATTTTAATTCTTAATTCCATTTTCTGCATTTCGCGCATTTCTCTTCATTTCTTTTGCTGGTTGGATTTTTTTTTTTCATTTTTCTTCAGCCACTTTGGAGGATATCCTCCTTTGCCGTTGTCTTTGTCTTTTGCGGGAGGTTTTCATTTTGCCTTTGTCTATGCGTTAATTTCAAAGATAATTTCACTTTTAATTACACAGTCAAGCGAGTTTTCCTTGGGTTTCCTTTTCCACTCCTTGCCACCATCATCTTGAAATTCCCCAAAAATCAGAGCATAGCAGAGCAGAGCAGTTATTCATTTGTGATAATCCACAGCAGACATAGCTGCGGAGGAGCTGCTGCATTCAATTCAAGTCCCTCCATACGAGTATCTCCAGTAATTACAACTAAATGAATATTAAAATCCACACACACACACTCGCTCTCCCTCTCTCTCTCTCTCTTTCTTTCTATCTGTTTCAAGGAGCTGGAACTGGAATTGGAGCTGGAGCAACTATGCCCGATGCTTGGAGATCTTGAGAGCTAGAAAGTCAAAGCCAAAGCTAAAGCCAAAGCCACTGGCATTCAAGAAGTGAATGCCACGGAGCGACTGTGTTTTATGTTTTTCGCCTCAACAAGGCTTCAACAAGGGTCCTAGAAATTCTCAGATTGTCTTCAATGCCACATCTAATGGGAGGGATGCTCCCATTCCCATTCCCATTCCGATTCTCAGTTCTAATTCTAGTTTCCCCTACCCACCCCACATCCAAAGATGGGGAACCATGTCACGCTCGCTGAACTGCGACGAGTGGCAAATGAAAACTGTTTATGTGCGGCAAAAGTTCCACTCCACTCCGACCTGGTACTCGATGAATGCCTTCTGAAGGATATGCTTCTGTGTGATGTGACTGTGGGGCGTGGCAGAGTGCCTTACCATCTGCGGGGGGTGGGGTATCTGGTATATCTGGTATGTATGTAATTATCTTTTGCCATGAATGTGTTTGCAGAAGAGTCTGAATAATGAATTTCAAGGCTCCTACTTACTCCCACAATTATTGCAATTGAATCAATAGGGGAATATTGGTTTAAACACAGCAATGCAATGAGAATAATTAAATATCAAAGTTGATAAATATATATTTAATATTTCGGTAGATGGTTTCCGAAGATTTAACTTTTTTTCCTTGGAATTCGGGTGAATGGATGTGAATGGCGCATAATTAATTCCTGTGGCTATTGTAACTCTGTGAATCTCATTTCTAGGGTGTCTGTCTAGTCAAGAGTCCTGCTTTTTTCTGTCGCCACAATGAGCGAGGGGGGAGTGGCCTGTCAATATTTTCTAGAAGCTGGGGAGCAACTTCTAGCGGCTGTCAACCTTCGACTTTGGGCGACCATGCGACCATGCTCCTGCTGCTGGTTGCGCCGTCCAGGGCAATCACGTGCCCAGTCGACTTGAGCCCCGAGCACGCCCCAGGGAGCTGTCAAACGGCTTTGGACCGTTTCGCGTTCCACTAAAGAAAATTTCAAATTATTTTCACTTGCTTTCTGCACACCCTGGTGGTGGCTTGGTGGTGCCTTTCCCACTGCCATTGCCATTGCGCCTCTGTTGAACGTTTTTGTTATTCCTGCTGCCGGCTAATTAGTAAAACTCTCTGCAAAATTATGCTCACTCCCCAATCTCCCACCCCCCATTCTGCCTGCTGCCTGCTGCCGCCGCTTTTCTTATCTAAATAAACACCCAACCATTGGAGTGGGCGGGGGTAGGGGCAGGGGGTCTCTGCGCTGGGGATTTAACGAAGAAAAAAAAGAGAGTAACAAAAATGTTGGATAAAATTTACATAAACTAATTCGTTGGCTGATTTGAATAAGGTAATGGAAGGAACGTTAGTGACTGTCCGCTGGATAACCGCTGCCGCCTGCCGCCTGCCGCCTGCAAACCAACCTGGGAACCCGTAGACACCGAGATGGATTGGGACACTGGATGCCACCGCACAGAAGAGAAAGCTCCTAGACTACATCGCTTAGATATATATATTTGTTGTATATGTTAGGTAGGTTGACGATAGGTTAACTTCATAGCTGCGTGCTGTGCCCCGCGCAACTCCAATCAGGGGCACTAGTACCGGGATTCAGGGCCGTTGCTGTTGCTGCTGCAGCTGCTGCTGGTGGCAATTGTGGCACCAGCCTCAGCCTACAGCTATACGAGATGCCCGTCCGCATCTGTATAGGCCACTGGGATGCCACTGGCGGACGCGGCGGACATAGCTGCTCCGCCATTGAAGCTGCTCATGCCCGCTCCCGTGGGGTCGTAGTTGGCGCTGGTGGTCATCAGTAGGTTGCTGCCCATACCACCGCCCTGCGCTGGCAGATTGAGTATCTGCAGGCTGCCCATGGGCGCGGAAACGGGCACACCCACGCCCACTAGGCTGGCGTTGAGAAGCTGCTGCTGAGTGCTGGTGCTGGAGCTGGTGCTGTTGTTGGAGCTGCTGCTGCTGCTGCTGGTGGTGCTTGCTGCGGTTGGGATCCTTAAGGATGCCGTGGGGTTGGCGGGGCAGCGTGCTCGTGGCCGCAGCTGTCGTCATGCTGCCATTGAGCATTGTGCTCGTGGTGAGGGTGGTGGCGCTCAGATTGACAGGATGCAGGTCGTGCAGCATCTGCATGGGACTGCCGCTGACTGCTGTCGTGTGGTGGGTGACATCCGGCTGGGGTATTCCGCGCAATATGCCGCGTCTCAGTGTGCCCGATCCTCCAGCCGTTCCGTTACCAATAAGCGTCGCTCCGCCATTGCTGGCCAGCAGCGCCGCCGCCTGTGACGTCACTGTAATGGGCTGCATATGGGCCATGGACATGGGTGGGGCGGCGGTGAAGTCCAGGGCTGCTGGGTATTCCTAAAAAAAAAGGAAAAGAAAAGAAAGCAGAGCAGAGCATTAGCTAGGGAGCATTAGGCAAGGGTGGGGGTGTGACTAAGTCTTAGAACGCATCCTGAACTCATCCGAAAGCTGTCTATCTCTCTCTTTTTTTTGTTGGCTCAACGGCTCGCATAAAGAGTGGAGAGAGGGAGAGAGAAAGAGCGATAGTGAGAGTGAGAGGGCAAAAGTTTTCCCATTAAACTGTCGCCCGAGATATGAAACAATGAAAAGCGCAAACAAGAAGAGTTATCGCGGCTAAGTAGAAACACAAATACATTGCAATATTCGGGCGGGATGGCTACCCCATCGAAAAAATACACACTAATACACATGTACATATATCGAAAAACAACAAAACAAAACAAAACATACTCGTACAATTTATGTATTCCCCAGAGTGGAAAAATGTATAAAAATTAAAGCATTTGCATACCAACATTTATTACTAATGTGTTAATGCTGCTAATAATTAATCAATTGAAATCAATTGCATATCTCAGATTTTTTCATATAACTATTATCATTATAATTGTGTTCTACACTCTGCTATTTTTTGGGTCTTTGCATAAATTATTCAAACAATATTCAATAGTTATTTCCTCGTTGAATCAAACAAATATGCAAAACAAAACAAAAAACGCTCTTCCATTGTTAATTGATTTTGTGTTTGTCATCAAAATTATGAAAATAAGATGGGAACTGTGTCTACTTTTAAATCATGGATCAAACAGGGTCAAGCAGTGCAGGCCGCTCCGCTTCGATTATTGCATTGTTTGTTTTGTTTCTGCACGCCAGTGCTCTCTCGCTCTCTTACGCTCGATCGTGTCTGTTCGTGTGCGAGCAAGCAATGCACACTCTCCGCAATTAATTCCTTCTCTCATTCTATTTGCTCTCGCAGAAATTATCTTGTTCTCAGCCACAACAACAACGTCATCAAATACAAAACTCTTGCGCAAGGCAATTCTTATTGCCAAACGGGACTTTGCCTTTGCATTATGAATCACGAATTGGACATGTTTAGACATGTCCGTTCTTGTTGTTATTTTTTACGCGTGTACATTTTTTTTTGTTAAAGGGTAGCAGGGTATAGGGTATAAAACTGCGAAATCTATCGTTATAGTATCCTTTGAATAGTTTCTGCTCCCACTTGTTTGTTTTTTTTTTCCTTCTTCTTTTGTATGAGTCAAAAGTCTGTGAATTCAGGCAATGATTGACTCTAACGATGTCATAATTTCATCCCAACACCAGAAATATGAAAAACATAACTTGCTGAGAAACTTTTTAAAAAGAAAAACTACGAGTGCGAGTACGAGAGAGTACAAATATCATTACTGTTGCTTGTTGGCTGGTTTGTTGGTGGGTGGTGGAGGGAGGCAAGGAGCCAAGGTGGAGCATAACCATGAAGCAGATAGAAACGAACTGTCTACAAGTGGATTTCTAGTTCAATTGACATGACACTTTGTCATTTTGTCAGCCACCTTCCAGCCCAGCCAAGCCCAGACCAGACCAGCCCAGTCTGACAGCCAGCCAGTCAGCCTCGGACTCTGACCGAATAGCAGCAGCAGTGCAAAGAACTTTTCCTCCACGTAGCAACTTTCAAGTTTCTAGCTTCCAGTTGCAAAACTCTCAACTTGTGCACCTAATTGGAATATTAAGAAGAGCAAAGTGAATCGAACACACAGTGCTGCGGCACCTTCAATTGTTTGGTATCCGTTGAAGAACGGAAGCCGCCGCCCAGCCACCATCCATCCAGCCACCATCCATCCAGCCAGGGATTAAGCTAGGGGAAGGGAGCAGTGGTGCCGCACTCTGAACAACACATTAGAGCCGCCATCCCCAGCACTGATTAACATGGTGCAGGGATACACACGGACCCACCAGCGGACACTTTGTATCAGTTTACAAAGTTAAATTGTCTTTAACGAAAACTTTGAGCCGCTGCTGAAGTTGAAGATGGGTTTGTTGTTGTTGTTTTTGTTGTCCTGTGGGTAGTTTAGTGATAGGATAGGGGGCACAGACAGGGCAAACTGTAAAAGGGGTTTTGCTGTACCCTCCCCAAAAACTTTTTGGGGCCACTTAAAGGCTTTTGTATGCCGCGTTTGCTAATTCTCCATGTTTTTTTTTTGGAGTAACTTCCGAGGCTCCCAGGTCTGCCTGGCTCTGGGGTGTGGTCCGTGTCCGTGCCTCATTATTTGCTGTTGCTATTGTTGGTGTTGGTACGGCGTGTATTGTGGCTCTGGCGAGAAGTTCATTTTGTGTAAATAGAATAACCAATTGGCATTGGGGGGGCACTCGACACACTCGAGCACAAGCGAAGCGAAGCACCCCCCGCCCACCATAAAAAGAGCGCACAAAACTTTCCGCATTAAGCCACTAAACTCGAGCGGCGCCAAAGTCTATGAAGAAAATATTCACAGATACAGCTACAGAACGGGGAGCGGAAGCGGTAAGGGAGCGGGCTTTGGTCGTTGCTTTGGGAAATTAAATTATGGTCCCTAGAATGGGTGTGGGTGTGGGTGTGAGATGTGGTATCCCCTTATTTATTTAATCGTCACATCAGCTGTGCCACTCATCCGTTCTTCCATGAATTTTAAAACAGAAATAAAAAAGCACAAAAGCAAAAAAAAAACCAAAACACTTTGGTATCTCGAATGCGTAAAGTATCTGACGAATGTCAGATGGTTCGTTGAAACTGCTGTTGCTGCTGCTTCGGCTGCTGCCTCTGCTGTTGCTGACATTTCCCAGATTCCAGATCCACAGTCCACAGAATGTCTGACAATGGGGGCTGTGCTCTGCTGTCTGGCTGAAGGAGGAGGGAGAGGGGTACGGCACGCAAAAACTAATTGAATTTAAAACTGTGCAAAACTCAACTTAACAAAGTGAACCGTAGTTAAGTTGTCCAGTGAAAGTCAGGACCCGGACCCAGACCCGGACTCGGGCCCTATCCCTGCAGGGATCTGCCTTCTTCTGCTCTCTTTGCTGGTGCCTTTGCTGCTTGCCCCTCCAGCGGCTGCTCCATGTGAGTTGAGTGCACGTACAACTGCCAACAGCTGAAGTCCACATTCACATTGGGACCCTGACGGCGTGCGTCTGCAGGCAGTGGCAGCATTTAACTTATCAACGATGAAACCAGCTAAATGAAAGCCAAGCATTTTCGAGATAATGTGGTGGTGGGAGGGGGGGCGGGGGAGTGTAAAAAATGTAAAGGAGGAGTTCTCTCAGTTCGAGTCTAAAGTTGGCAATAAAATACAAATTGCCGCTTAAATAGTTACAAGACACACAATACTCCCTCCGGCCCCTCCCACACAAAAGGATATGGGTGGCTGTGGCAGTGGCGGGGGGTGTGGCCACAGCTTGTTTCAAATTTAAGTTTAGTTTCGGGTGACCTCTGACACCCAGTTGCTGTACGGCATGGTGGAACCCAAATGGAGACAAAGTTAAATCGTATCGAGGTGTAATTAGTATTTACTCCTTGGAGATGTTTAGCGATCGAGTTGCCCATCGATTGTTTGCCCGAGTATTTGCCAAACTTTATCAATTATTGAATTCTGAATGTTTCAGTTTTGATGCAATATCTGTCAGTGGCCACATCCTTCGACAGTTAATTAAGGACTCACTTCGTTTGGGACTTCTCATTCCTAATTCATTCATTTGGCTGTCATAAATGGAAACTTCGCGTCGAAAGGAGGCTACCAATCAATTGATACGATTGATACGAATAATTCGATTGCAGCATCCCAATGGATGAGCCCCAGCTGCCTGTCTGCCTGCCTGCCTCCCCCTTCTGCCTTGTGGCAAACGATTCCTAAAACTTTTGTTACATTGCCATTTGCGGCGCGGGTTTTTCCTTTTGTTTTTCCCCTCTGCACTCTGTGTGTGTGTGTGTCTGTTTTGTCAAGTTTTTCAATTGAAATTTAATTTGATTTACTGTTATAAATTGTCGTTATTCATTTACTGGCCCATTCGCCAGGGAGCCGAAGAGAATCAAAGAGACAGCTGCTCTTCGAAAAGTAATTTAGTTCTAGGCCAAATGTTTTTGGCCAACCGCGCTGCTCTCTCTCTCTCTCTTTCTCTTTCTCTGGTATATTTTGTAATTTTTTCTAATGATGTTTATCAAATAATTCAATTTGGCTTCCACACAAAAGCATTTCTTATGTGGCAAAGGCCCACAAGCTGCACACAGAAAGCGGAAGGACCTTCCCAGCAATGCTGAAGTGGCCCACACAGATATATATATATATATATATTATATATCGTATATTTATATGTATATACATATAGTGGAGTGGCATTGTTGACCAAACTAAACTGAAATTGAATTTTTCTCCCTCGTTGACTAAAAACCGCAAACAAAAGGTTTAGAGTCTCATGTCCCCCCATGTCCCATGGGTAGCCACTGGACACTTTTTGCCACATCATTTAACTGGGCAGGATCTGTGCAGGATGCGGCAGTGGGGAAGATTCCCTGACATGGGAATGGGAATTGAAATTGAAACTGGGACACAATTGAATGAAGTTAACAAATCGTATGAGGCCCATAAATATGGTCGACAGCTAAAGCATAAATATTATTGTATTAGCCAAGTTAAAGCGTGTGCAGGTGTGTGTGTGTGTGTGTGTGTGTCCGTCCCGCATGTGTCATGGCACTGCTGCCATCTGCCATCGGACATCTGCAGTTAGGTCTCCCCCTTCCCCCGTCGTGCTGCTCCTTCATCTAATTTATACAATTATTGAGCGCCAGCGCCAGAGCCACAGTTGATATGACACATAAATGGAAGCGACCATCGCAGGACAGGACAGGACAGTGGCAGCGGCGGCGGCTGACTGTCAACCACCACCCATATCGAGTGTCGTCTTATGCTGTCGCATTTGCACCCCTTTAGTGCCAGAAGTCATCATCATGCCACCAACAGAAGATGCGGAAAGTGGAAATCTCAGTGGGGAAATAACGTAAAAGGCGATACATAAATTCTTAAAATTGATTTTCCCATGTTTATTATGAAATTTTGTGGAATTTATATTGGCTTGCAATGCGACAGAAGGAGCCAAGGAAGGTATCCAATGTGTATGCGTGTGTGTGGGTGTGTGTGTGTATGTGGGCGTAGTCCGGTGTCCCTTTGAATGTTGTTTGCTGACATTCCGGTTTTTTTTTTTCTATTTTAAAAGGCATTCAATGGTTTGCTTTGGCTGCTGCTGCTGCCATACGCTGCGTATGCGCGATATTAAATTATCTTGAGGAAATAATGTTTGCCTTTTGGTTGTGAAAGGGGAATGGGGCGGAGGGGCATGCAACCAACGGCTGTAGCTGAGCTCCAGTTGGAGGAGCTTACTTATAATGCTTTTAAGTTTGTCATTTGTCTATAGACTGTTGCTGCTGCTGCTGCTGTTGCTTTTGCTCTTGTTGCTGTTGCAGAGAAGCTGAAGCGTGGGGATTATAAAAGTCGAAGCGCGTTAAATGCCACAGCAGGGATATGCTGTGGCAGATGTCTCTCTCTCTCTCTACATCTCTCTGCCACACTCTATGCACCGCTTCGCATTGCCCCACCCTCCCTGATCGAAAGCATATACATGTATTTATGGACCAACTCCTCTCGCATGGGTTGGCATGTCCTTGCATGGCAGCATGCAAAATGCCAAGTCTTCCTCTATAAAACTTTGGTTAATTGAGCGAAATAATCCACGGGTGGGTTGGGTTGGGGTTGGGTCGGGGCGGATGGCCACGGATCAAAGAAGGTAACTGCAGATGCGGGCAATTAAGTTTTACCCGACTGATGGCACTGCCACTGCAGCGGCAGTAGCAGCAGCTGTTTGGTTAAGCTTGGGTCTTAGCCAAATTCTCCCCCACAACCCCTTAACCCCCTTCGGGCACCCATTGGCGGTTCATTGATCTCTGTATAAAGTAGTGCAGGGAGTAATTGGTTCTGGCACTCACCATTGGCGGATAGGACAAATATCTGTCGCTGTTCATGTTGTAGTAGGAGCCATCTGGCGGCGGCGCTGGCGATGGGGACGGTATATAAATGCCCTTGCTGATTAGCATCTGATCATCGCGGCTCATATGGATGGCAGTGGCATTCCCATTGTTGTGCCTCGGATGTGGCAAAGTGCAGGCATTAACTGGAAACAGAAATATATACATCAATAAAATACGAGACAGTGGGATTTCCCGTTAATATACTATGGTTTAAAACAAAAATGTTAAAATTCATTTCAGTCAGTTTTTTTTTAAATTTGTATTTTTGTTCAGTGGACTTTTTAAACCCACTACCGGGCTGGAGAGGTTCTGTTGCATATTATTTTATGTTTTATTTTTTTCATATTTCCCATCCCACATATTTTTTGTTGGCCAGAGTGCTTAAGCTTTGATTGCGGCCATAAGCGGTGCACGGACTCGACTCTCTCTCTCTCTGTCGACCGAGAATGGTGCAAGAGGCAATTGAATTTCGATTTTTTAAACTGCCACTGACAGATTTTATGTATTGCCATATCGTGTAGAAGATATGCCAGAAGATGCACCATATTCAGTGTTGGTGGTGCACGCACTCACTCGTAATCGTAAATATCTACACTGAGTGAAAAAAGAAAATGTTCCTAGATGGGAAAAACCCTGTTAAAATTTAATTTTTCTTTTTATTTTTTTTTTTACCTATTTTCCTTTTGATTAATAGATTTAATAGATTTGTTTTTGCAATTATTGGGCAATCTAAATTAAAAGATTGAAAAGTTTTTTTTTATTTGTACATTAAATTTTGACTTATTTCCCTTCCGATTAATAGTTTTAGGTAAAAGCAGTCTTAACCATTCAATTTAAAATTCCATAGCTTTCGTTTAATTTGCCACACAATAAACCTAAATGCCCACACATCACAGTTTGGTACTGCAGTGTAGGTACGAGTACACATAAATAGATGCAACACTTTGCTGCTGCCTTGGTTCTGCCTGATTTCATGTGCAAACGTTTGGAAAGAAACTGAAAGCGAAGGCCATTAATTGCAATGGATACGATGGGCGACGTGGGTGTGCTACAAGTACTATGTGGTTGTGCCTGATAAGCCTTCCCAATAAATATGCAAATGTCAATGGAGTCTTTCGACTGGCCATGACTGCTGCTGCTGCTGTTGCTGTTGCTGCCTGCCTGCTTGCTCCTCCACCTTTTTTTGGGGCGTGACAAATTGCTATGACACACACACACACACACACACACACAAACACACTCATATTCCCACGTTGCCATGCGACATAACACATCGTTCCGCCAGGAGCTTGTTGTAGCCACATCACGAAGTAGATGCTGCTGCCACCGCAAGTGAGATGCTGTCATACGGATAGGCGTAAAACCCGCAAACGTAACAAATTTGATTGTAATTTTCCACAAAATAGGACAAGACACGACTCCAAGCCACTCCATCTGGCAGAGAGAGAGAGAGAGAGAGAGAGTGAGAGAGGGCGGGGTAGAGGAGGGTAAGTTCCTGTAGCTAGGGAGCCAAATTTCCTGTTGTTGAGGCTGCCCGCAAAAGTAGGCAACAATAATTTCGTTGCAAAAGTTCGAGTCACGGCAGCGGCGGTGACAAATCGAAGGAAGGAAGAGAAGGTAGGAGAACCCTAAGCTTCTTTTGGGCCATGTTCATCTTGTGGCCTGTTTACTTTTCTTGCATATGTGTATGCGTGCCTGAGTGTGTGTGTGTGAGCCATGAATTATTGATTTTTCGATCAGCGCCAAACAAACGAAAGAGCAATGGATCTTTGCCTTTTTCCCCCAAGATTTGAGCTTTTGTTGGATGGATAATTGTTGCGTGGGTCAGGATGAGATGCGAGCTGGTGGTGCTGGCATTTGGGGTACTGGGGCTCCCCCCCGCCCACATCTCATTCTTTCCATACATTTTTTATTAATAACATTTGTGGCAAACAGCAAAACAAAACACTCCAAAGAGTGTTCCCCCACAGCGAAATGGAGGGGTGTGCGGTGCTTGCACTTACTCAAGGTCATGACTGACTCAGAGATTTAGTTGACTTGTTGCCTCGCCCAGCACACCAGCCCACCCACCCCACTCCCTTCCCTTACCCACCACAACTGACGGCACGTTCATGCCGCTCATTAACAAGGCAACGCGTGGAAAAGTATCTCATTAAAAGAGCGGTGCAAGTTGCCTTGGTTTTCCAGTTTTCCAGTTTTCATTTTCTCTTTATTTTTATTTTTTTAATTTTTTGGGTAAATGCAATTGCAACTGTCGGTTGCTGAGGCAAGGGATGAGGAGCTGTGTATGCCCCTCCAGCAGGGGGTGGCAGCAGCTACAGCGGTTTCCCAAAATTTATATTCACAAAAATATTCCAAACAAAAATATAAAAAAAGCCGAGAGATAAAAAAAATTTGACGCCAACTAACAAAAACAATTTCCGCTTGCCGCCCCATCCCACCACTGTTCGGCCGGCACGCCCCCTTAAGCTTATGTGCATGCCCATGGGCGGCAGCTTCTCTTGCTGCTGCTGCTACTCCTACTACGGCCAGCCGCCAGCCGCCACCACACCCACACCCACCAATCTGCACGCTTGAAACAACAGCCTTGGGCGCTCTCTTGTTTGAGATTCAGCTTCCGGCAAGCATTTTAATTTTTTGTGCCACGTGGGGGGATTCTTTTGCACTTCCCTCTCTATTCTCGTCCTCCTCCTCTTCCTCATCTCCCTTTTTATCTTCCTAACTCTCTCTCTCGTCCTCGCTCTGCCTATCTGCTTTTTTGGGTGCTTTTTATGCTTCTTTCTTTCATTTCTGTTTTGTTTTGGCTGTGGTTTATACCCTCGCAAAGGGTATTACGGTTTTTGCTACCACAAAATGTAATTTCTATAGATTTTTGTATATTTAATTCGTGGAAATTACAGTTTGCAACAAAATCTGATTGAAATCATTTCCATTTTATTTCCTTTATTAATTATTTGAAACCCATATATTTGATTCATTTTTAACCAATTTGTTTTTGCATCGTAAAAAATTAGGGCATCCAAATGGTTAAAAGAGGTTTGCTCTCTCTTCTCTCACTCTCTCTCTCTTGCTCTATTTTGCTTTCGTTTTTTGTGCGTGCGTCTCCCTTTGTTCTCCCTTGGCGTGTTTCCTTTACTGTTCTGTTCTGTTCCTTCGTTGTTTGTTTTTTTTTTGCGAGAAGAAAGAACATGACATACGCACATACACCCACACACACACATACACATACATACATACATAATTATGCATGTCGCCTCAGAAACTTTTCTTTTTAGGGGAAAGGTAAGGAAGCTCTTCGGTTATCTATTTCCTGGAATTTCCTAGCGACTGTTCGCTGAGAATCTCTTTCTCTTTCAGTTCCTTTCTTTGACCAAAAAAAAAATAAATAAATTTCCATTTCGTTGACATAAGGTAATTGTGTTTTGTATGCCACGTACCCTCCGGCTGCCTTAGGGTATGGTATTCCCTATTGGGAATAAGTTTTGTGCAGCTAATGTATTTTTATTATTTCTACGCTTTTGCATTTCAAATGCATTCAATTCTTACTTCTACTTTGGCACCCGCGGATATGTCTGCTCTTTGTCTTACTTTCCCCACTCTGCCCCCTGCTCTCTGCTGCTGTCCCCTGTCTACCCTATCCCCTCTCTGCACACTGTTGTTGTTCCCCGTACTGTTTTTTGCTGCTTTTTCTCTGGCTTCCAATTGATTTTATAGAATAAAACCGAGGGATCTTTTTTTGATGGAAAGGTGTCTCTCTGTCTGTCTGTCTGATGGCTCTTTGGTTATTATTCTTCCATTTCCATTTGAGCTTTTCTTTCTTAAATATCCGAAACCTTGGAAGATGTGTATGTTGTGCCTTAAATTAGCGCAGACATGAACGTGATTTTGTAGCAGCTGCCTTGGAGGCATGTGGCAGAGACACACACACACACACACCAACTCAGAGGGCAGAGGCTCGGTAGATGCATCAATTGAAAATCAAGACTCTGACAAAAAGTTTGCTGCTCAATTACAATTAAGATGGAGATGCTGTGCTGCAATTGAATTTTCTTCATGCCCCCACCCCCCCACACACACACTTCTTCACAATTTCTCTCTGCCCAATTTTCGATCCTTTTTTGGGTCCTGTTTCGGTTTCGCTTTATTTATCTGTATTTTTTCTCTAATTTTTTTTTTTTTTTTTCGTATTTCAATCTCTTTTTACTTTTGCGATTTCCGTTTCAGTTGGATGCCCTTTCCAAAAGTACTACACACTGACTAAAATAATATGTATCTCTAACATTCTTTTTTTTGTTTTGGTTTCTTTCTCATATTTGAGGTTATGCCCAGTAAACTTAACTTAATTTCCGTTTTTTTTTTACTAAGTAAACCTCTTGATTGCTGTTAATTTTCATTGGTATTTGACTACTGTATATCCCATATGCAAAGAGCATCTGAGTTTTCGGCATTACCATGCTCCGTTTTCGGTTTTTTTTTTTGCTCTCTTACATTTGCTTTGATTGCGCTGCAATCATGGCATAAAAATCAAGCCGAAACGAGTGCAACTCTGGCCAAAAGGGTGTATGGTGTATGGAGGAGGGCTCTGGAATGAGTAGAGGGTCAGGGATTCAGGGGTCAGGGTCTCTTCACTGACGTGCCGACAGCTCTCGTGGCAAACTCGCTCGAACTTTGTTTTTCTGTAAAGTTAATTATCTAAAGCGTACTTCTTTTTTCCTCGCCTGTCTTATTTTAGTGAAGAGAGCCAAAAAATGTTGGTTTCATTGACTTACCAATATTATTCGGATATAATACTGGCAGTGTGCCATCCTTTTGATATCTGGGCGGTGGCATATCCGCACCTTCGACCAGATATGTTGATGCTGCCTTTTTGCGTGCCTCATCCTAAACAGAGAGAGAGAGAGGCAGAGAGAAGAGTATGATAGTTATATGAGGATATATGTGTATGTATATTTATACTATATTTATTATCCCATTCCTCGTTTTGAGTAAATGGCCCGTAATTACTTCACATTTTGCCTTTTGCCATTTACTTTCTGTGTGTGGCAAAAAAAAAGGCGTTGAAAGTCGTTGGCGCGTAATTGACAGCCACAATGACAGCGGCGACACACAGCGGGACAGGCGGAACAGGCAGCAGCAAGGACGAATAGCGGAGGACACTCACAGATCGGAATGGCGCATTCGGACGGTTTCTGTCTGATTTATAACACGACGCGGTCGCAGTTTACGCACTTTACATACATTTCAGGCGCCGAATCAGGTCCCCAGACCCCCTCCTCCAGCTCTTTGGCTTAGCTTTTGCCCCCTGGTTTTTGGAGGCAGTTTGCTGCGGCTGCGGTTTGCCAGCCGCTGCAAGATTACGGGCGATAATAAATGATTTTAATAATTTGAAACGATTTGTTTGCAGCAGCCAAGAGGCGGCTCCCATTCTCATCCTTAGTCTCAGTCTTAGTATCAGAGTTGGTCCACTCTTGCGGGGGGGTGGGGCTCATCATTATCATCATCATCATCATCATCAACTGTCGCGTAATTAATCACGACGTCTTAGCGACGACGTTCGAGGCATGCCCCATGCCGCTTCCGTTTCCGCCTCTCTCTCTTGCTTGGCTTGCCACTTCCTGCCGTTGGATGCTTGAAGTTTTCCATCTCAAGCATTGGTAATAGCTTAAAAGCCAGGGGCGTACAACCTACTCCAAGTGGGCACTTCGTGAACCCCTTTCAAGGTACGCTCCTGCCTTAGCAGGACATCCATTGGGCAGCTGCCTAAAATTGCCAGACATTTTTTCGTTTAGTCTACTCTGCTTTTCCCCCCTTTTCGCTTTTTTTTTTTTGTGTTCCATTCACAAATTGCATATTCATGCCACTCGACAAAAAGTGGAACTAAAAAATAGTTCGCGAGGACTCTGGATATACTCACAATATATTCCGGCTGGCTGCCGCCCTCATTCGAATAGGATTCGCTCTTCTCCGAAACGCTGGACAGCGTCTCGCCGGTGACGGTGTCATTATACGAACTGGGCGCGTACATCTCGATGGTTGCCGTTTTTCCTGGTTGATTTGTAGTTTCCGACACTGCCAGCAGCAACCAAAAGCAACAACAAAAGGGCACAAAAAAACGTGCAGAAAAAAGTTGCACGTTGAAACGCGGCGGCAGTGCACAAATATTGAAAAGGTGTAATTGGCAGTGACATTCCGAAAATTGATGATTGGAGCATTGGGGGGAGGTAACAACAGTAAAGGCGGAAAGGCGCAACCGGCCAGAGACACAGACAGTGCCACAGTGCCACAGTGCCACATGCCACAGAGACAGATGCCCAGGCAGAGTTCCAGAGTCCAATTGGAAGGTGATGGCATGTTGAGGTGGCATTGGGCCAATTGTATGTTGGTTTCAGGCAATGCAAATCAAATGCAAATAGCCAAGAATGCCATTTACCCAGAGGCAGCCAAACGAAGGAGAGTAGATTAAGGGGGGGGTTATAGGGGGTGGTTAATGGAAGTTGCCAGTCGACGAGGAATTGTTGACAGGGTGGGACAGGGGACAGGGGACAGGGGGCAATGGTATTGTTTTAAATTATTCACATTTGTTACGGCAGCATTCGTTCATTCGTCGATGGTTGTGCATTTCGTTGCAGTTCAATAAGAGAGCGTGAGAGTGAGAGAGAGAGTGAAAGACAGAGAAAGGAAAGGTATGAAAAGGAGCAAGTGCGTATGGGCGAAAAATATAACGTCGTAATGAGGACAATCCAGGCGGCAATTTCCATGAAAAAATGAGTTAAAAATCCAATTAAATCATTTATGGCATCATTTGCCCCATAATTAACAAGTGTTTGCCACAGTGTTGTGTGTATGTGTGTGTGTGTGTATGTGTGCCACAGATGGTGTTCAATTCCATTTGAGTGTTCCAGTGCATATAAAAGAGAGAGGGAGAGATGTAAGAAATTCATATGTTATAGTAAATATTATAAACAATTTTCAGTTGGAAATTGCCATTGTTGTTTGCCTGTTGTTGTTGTTGCTGCTGTTGTTGTTGCTGTTTTTCGATTTTTTTCCCACTGACATTCCCATACAAAAAATATATACAACGATTCCCGGAGTCAGCAAAAACAAGAAAAAGAGAAAAAAGAAAGCCATTGGACACGTGTGCCCCTTCCTTCCTACCGTTGCTTCATGCCCCCCAAGAATGGGGGCGCTGTGTTGCCAATAGGTAAATGGACACTAACTCTGCCGCCTATCGCCATCATCGTTGTCGTTGTCGTCCTCGTTGTCCTGGCCATTCCAGGCAATGATTATGGCCCAAACGGTTTCTTAATAATACATTCTCCTGTGTGTGGGGGTGATTTGGGGGCAGTGGGGTCCACGTTCTCTACGTTTACGTGACATGCGGGCACTATTAGCCCCATCAGATGCAGAATTGCTTTAGGTATTTCGTTAATTTGGGGGGCACCATCAAACAAAAGGCATTTCGACTGCACGTGAAACGAACTCACTCGTATGCATAGTATGTTCGAGTATGTGGCACGATAAATACTGGTACAGACTCGTACGAGTCGAGTGTACTTGTAATAAATATTTAACAGATTGAAAATGGAATTCGTTTTGCTTTGTTTTCCCCTGTGCAACCATAACCGTTCAGTTGTTTTACAGTTTTACCAATTCCCATGATATTTTATCCTGCATACATATGTACATACATATATGTATGTATATACATATTTTCAATTTTCACATTTACTTTGGATTGTTTGTTGGCCGCTTTCGAATGCATTTTTTATGATTTTAATAACATTTGCCCGCATTGAATTTTAAATTATTAAACATATGTATGTATTTATGTATGCATGTATTTACATTTATTGAAATGTATAACAAAAGGGAAATCTATACGCACCGCCTCAGGAAAACATTCGGCGGCATGCCAAATCCTTTGCTTGCTTTTAGTATTTATTAATAATATATATTAATATGTGCAAAAATTTGCAAATTTTTTTTTTACTATTGAAGCCACAAGATATAATGTGATACGGCCGAATCAGATGCATTCTATATGGCAAAATGAAGCCCCTCTAATGGTATACCATACATATGTACATAACATATATTATATGTTATATTGATACACATGTATATGTCGATTTTAAACGATCATTTTTCAGGGTTTCATTTTTACTTTGAACCATAATTATTTTGCCTTATTGCTTTGGCTTTGGTTCGGCGGCTGCCTCTCACTCTTGCTCTCGGTTCTTCTGAGTTTATTATTTGTAGTATGATATTCCAGCCTCTCCAAGGGTACATACATAAATATGTAATCAAATATGTAATTAAAAATAGCAAATGCATTTAAGTGCTTCGAATGCAACGTCTGTGTGCGGCACTAAACTGCTGCAGAATTTGGATTTAGTAGTGTGTAAATTCATGAGATATCCCACATAAAAATTCACATACACACACATTAAACATTCACACTCACTCAATACGATGAAACCCCACATTTGTCTGTGTGTGTTTTTTTTATTTTTATCTCACTTGTTTTTATGTTATTTCTGATGGCAAAACGGGTTGATGATTCCCTTAACGGACGGCTAAAGCGGGGTAAACTAATAGACATGGCTTTAATCAATTAAAGCAATTAAAAAGAAAAACCGCTTACCTTGGCCCCAAAAAGAGAAAGTGAGAGTGAGATGGAGAGAAAACCTACAACATATGAATGTATTCATTGCCCGAATAATTTGCTAAGCTCCATGTGTGGATAGAACTCATGAAAAATGCAGCCTTACGACCAGTTGAATACCGCACATAGTGCAGAGTTGCTCAATTTGTTGGTGGCAGTGGCGGCAGTGACTTGTATTATTTGCTAGCAAAATTCTTTTATCTGTCAAACGATTGGCATACAAAGAGTCCCCCCCCGCATAGCAACCGCTGTAGCCGGTTAGGTTAATTCCTTTGTTCTGATAAACCTCTGCAGATGCTTTCGGGTAGGGTATTTTAAGGACACACGGACCCACACATTGACACACACCCCGCCGCGCACAGATGTGCCAAATAATCCGCATCCGCATCAACATCCGCATGCAGTGTACGTCTGGCCACACTGCCCGCTGCTACACTCCCCCGCATAGTGAAACAGAGAGAGAGAGAGAGAGAGAGAGCGCGAGGGAGAGATTACATACAAACATATTTTGCACTTGTGCTGGCAATCCAGAACTCCATGTCAGAGTGTTTGGAGCAAGTGGCCATGGGACAGCGGATTTTATTTGCTTTTTGCGCTCTCCTTTTTAATATTTTTACATATGTATGTATATACATGCATACGTACATATGTATGTATATTGTTGTATGTGTGGGGTTGAGCCACAGCTTAGAGGGAGAGATCCTGTGGTCGCTAATGACGCCACCGTCAGTGGCAGGGAAAACGTCTGCTTTGAAGGTCTTTTCTTTTAATCCGAGCTTCGTCCTTGGAAGCAGCAGCCAGCCAGCTAGGCAGCTAGCCAGCCTGCCTCTCCTCTCAGAAACTTCTATTATTTGTGCTGGTTTTTCATTCGGTCATTTGAATGCCATTGAGGAGAGTGCATTGCAATCAAGCTGAGTTATTTCTTGCTTTTGTCTTCGCTCTTCAGAAATTTATGATTTCCCTCTCTGAATGGGCAGGCAGGCAGGCGGTTGGCTCCTCGCCGTAGGTGTTCTGCTCTCGAGCCGAGCGCTTATCTCTTCAGATTCGATGTCACAGCTCGCTCTCCCTCTCCCTCTCCCACTCTCTTTCTCTTACGCACGCCCCAGAACCCAAACTCACTTCCATTCCCCATCCACTGTCAATTGTTTAAAGAGTGTCAAAGTCAAGTGCTTTACAGTGCTGGACTTTGGGGCTGCCTGCGATGGAGGTCCATCGGATTGAATAGAGTTTCAAAGTTGGTAGTGGGTGGGCGGGCGGTTTGCCGCCTTATCGCTAAGAGCAACGCGCTACGTTGGCATAAAAGTTTCGACTCGCCAAGTCGTAAAAGTGTCGCACACTCTCACGGAAACTCCATTCCACAGATCGAGTTGTTTGCAATTTTATTTTTGCGCCACTCAACCCGACAACACACTCCACTGAATGGACCTTGCCCCCCATTGGGGGTTTGCTACCTTTTTGGCGCAGCCCAAAAACTCTAAAAGAAAGTGAGTTTTTTCACTAAGATAATACCACACCACACGAAAGCTTAGAGCAAATTCGAGTGCTCTTCAGTTTGATCAGGCTACAAGGTTGCATCGGGCAGAAATTGTACCAGGGGGATTTTTAAGCACATACATACATATGTACGTATGTATGTATATTCAGGGTGACGAGCCTCTCCCATTGTGCACTTTTTATCCAAATATCTTCTAACACTCTGCGCAGCAGACGATTTGATTTTTTTTTTTTTTCAGCTGATGTAATTTATTACCCTTTTCCCCCAGCACCGCTCACTGCGACACTGTGGCAAAAGTCTAGTCTTATATATTTTTCAACATTTAGATTAATCGTTTTTCGAGCTTACATATTTCTCATTTGCGAAACTCTCATTTCGTTCAGTGTAGGAGAGCCTATAGATTTGAGAGGCCCAGCAGCGAATGGCCATAAACATTAGAAATGACGCTATTCAGGATGGAGCAGGCTCAAGGCTCAGGATCAGGGTCCATAGCACATACGAAAATGAAATATGTGGCACTGGGCATTGGCCCACGACACCAACACCGAGACCGACACCGACACCGATACCAACTGGCTCCCACTCTGCTGCGCTGTGGCCATGTGGCAGGCAGTGTGTTCACTCGTTCGCGGCGGCGATGGCGCGCGGTGCCAGTGGTCGATGACCGGCCAGTAGTCCGGACCAGCTGCCAACCGCAGACTTTTGGCATAGTTTATCGGCACAGGACGAGAGCGAGGGAGCGAGGGAGAGACAGAGACAGAGACAAAGAGCGACAGCTACAGCAAAAGGCTTCTTAGCCTAGCCCAGCATTGCGGTCAGTCGTTTGGTCGTTTGGTCGTTTGCTCGTTTGCAGATGGGTAGGGACTGGGGGCCGGGCCGCCCCCAAGATGAGATGAGATTGGGGCATAGAAGTGCCGCAGCTGGGAGCTGGAGTTGAGGATGTATTTTTGACACAAAAGCACGAATGCACATTAAAAATGCATATCCAAGGGCTACGGCAAACGCCAGTCAAGTTTTTCGCCAGCGAATAATACATTGAAATATCTATGCAAAGAGAAATATTCTTCATGAAGGACATTGCCTCCGGAGCGGAGCGCTCTCCCACAACAACCGATGGCCGGGCTGGCTGGCTTGCCTTGCTTGGCCAACAACACACCAACAGTTTTTTCTCTCTCTCTGACAACTCCACACAGAAATATAAAAAATATGACAAAACTGGAACAGAGAAAATGAAAAACGGGATAAGTAAAAAAAATCCTTTTGGGCATTGTCAGTTATCGGCTTTGGAGAGAGAGAGAGAGATGGAGAGAAGGCTGTGCCTTGGGGGTTGAGTACTACTACTCCATCTCTTCGTGCATTGTCATAAAAATGTTTGTTGGGAGGATGGAAAGCCTTCGTTCCCACTCCGTTTGTATACCCTTCCATTCGGATTATTAATATTATATGACTGAGCCTCGCAAATAATGCGATCAGAACAATATAAACCCAAGCAAAGCCACAAACATACATACATACATATGTATTTGTGCTCTGCGCTGGTGCTGTTTTGTCCGCGAATAACAAATTCACAAAGGAGACGAAAACATGAGTAAGTGCCTGAGCCAAAACCGAATCGAGTCGAAACCGCCTTTTTTTTTGGTTCATTTTTGTTTTTTGTTAATTTTGTTTGAGCCTTGAAAGTGTTCATATGTAAATATTTTTCTGCACAGGTTCTCTACATCATAGACAACATTGTAGTAGCCATAAACCTACCGATAAGGGTATCTGTAGCTTCGCTTAGTCCTTTCCTATTTTGTTTTTGTAGCATTTCTGAAATATGAATTTCCTTTTGTGTGGATTGTCGGGAGTGTGCATTCGGTGCCCCTCAGCAGCAGCAGCAGCAGCAGCAGCATCTCAACCATTGTGACACACACACACACACACACAAACTACTGAAAATGAAAGACAGAAATAATGGAGTCTATGCCTGGGATGGGTCCTCGTCTGAGCACAGCAGAGCAGAGAAGAGCTCTGACTGCGCTGGGGATTCTTAGGGAAAATATCTTATTTATGCCCTGAAGCTTGTAACTGTAACTGTAACAGTAACAGTAAATGCAACTGCAACTGGAGCTCTTGTGCGTCGTTCGCGCGTCGCCTATTCGTTTGTAAATGTCAAAAATTGTTGGCCTACATTTTCCACTGTTGTTGCCTACGACTTAGTTCGTTTTGGCCACCACCCACCCCTCTCCATTTCTCACTTAATGAATGAAAAGTTTGACTAAAAGTCAAACGTTTGCATAAACTCTCTGTCTATGTATCGCTTGTCGTTTGTCGAGCGGCAAAGACACAAAAGACAGCTGCAACACACACACACACATACACACACACGATCCAGTGACTAAACGAACACGTGCATGTGCATAATGTTGCCTCATTCTTTGCCTGCCTTGCCTCCGTTCGGGCTGGAGAAATAATTTTGTTAGCCAGCGCGCAATGCCACTGGATGCTGCGTGCTGGCATGCGGCACGTACTATTACCGCTTCGCAGCCTGGCATATTGCGTATACACATCAGCCAGAGCATCGGGTCGATTTTGGGTGTGTCTGTCTCGCTGTGTGCCGCCTTAAAGGATTCGCCCGCTTGAAATATAATTTTAAATTAATAAACAATCCTAAACTCAAGACTGAAGGTTGAATCTGGGTTGCGGGGGAGCTGTGGAGCTGTGGAGCTGGCAAACATGTCCAACACTTGTCGACACGTGCTCCCTGCTGTATGGTTTCTGCCCCCTCCTTCTCGCTTTCCTGCTGTCTGCAGAGAAAGCAATCTGATTTCGGAAAGATTGTGCATTCAGCTAAGAAAACGATGCACATTTGTCTTGCCCCAGGAGTGGCAGAGTGGCATGCAACTTCTTCGGGCTAAGCTCCCTGTCTGTCTGGCTGGCTGGGGGTGTGCCCAGGATGCATCATTATTTTCTGTCATCATTATATTCTTGTCTTGCGTTGTCTGCTCTCGGCCATGGTTGCCCCAAGGAAATTACAAGATTTCTCTATCCCATATGCGGCCAGATATGAGCCGCGCTGCCATCCCTTTGATGCCCACCAGCAGAAGGAATGGTGGTGCAGGAAATTGTTTAGTGCATGCATATCTACAACGGCCCTTAGACGGCCATCGGAAACTGCACAACGCCGCTCTCGTATTCGTATTCGTATTCGTCTTCGCATTCGCATCCGTATCCGCATCCGGCCGTGTCCCGGAAGTGGTGCCGACTGCCATGGCTTGGCAAGTGCCTCTTCGCTCTCTCCCTCTCTCTCGTTTGTAAGAACCCAAATTAAACGGAATATAATATAATCAAGAGGCAACACAACAGGCAACAGCAAGAGCATAAACTACATAAATTATAGCAATAAGAAATAACGAAATAAAAACGAAATAAAAACGAACCTTTCTTGCGTCGCTGATGCACAAAGAACCAGGCAACGAGGGCCGCATTGACCAGCAGAAAGCCGAAGGCCGCCAGGGAGATGCCAATTATGACCAGGTTCGGTATATTGCCCGTCGCCGAGTCATCGCTTAACTCCGCTGGCATCATTTCAAATCCTTGCGACAACAACAACAAAAATAATCCAAAACGAACAGACCATGAAAATACAACAGAAAGTACAAAATATAATGAGAAATGCTGGCAAAAAATAAAACAATAAATAAATGCGAAATGCGAAATAAAATGAGATATTGTTAGACAAAAAAAAAAAAATAAAAAAAATAAATAAATAAAGAGAAAAAGTATAGTACTTTGTACATACACAGATATATCAAAGGGAATACAAAATAAGAAATAAATGCGACATCGTAGTTCCAAATGGATGCCCCCCAACAGGACTTTCATTCGGATTTGGGTCTGGTTGCCGTTGCCATGGCGAAGCGCACGCAGCAGCGTTATCAAATAAAGAAACCACCGAGTGACGCAAATCACGTAATAGACAACCCTCCCGCCCATCCAGCACTCCGCCAGCACCGAACATGTGATGGCAAATGAAATTAGCAACGCCATCGTCATCGCAATACGCGGACCAACGTTTGACCAGCACGAGGGCGCACGTGTCCGTGTCCCGGGCAACGCCCACCAAATTAAAAGGAAGGAGCCCGTGCACCCGACTAAAAAACCGACCTTGGGTCGCGGGCTATTATAAATTCAAATGCCTCCGCCACATCTAACCCTCTTTACGCCAGAACAGAAACAACAACAGCCAACAGCGGCGGCGGCAAGGAACAGCTTCCAGCATCAAGCAGCAACAGCAACTTCAATTTTTGTTTGTTTTTTTTCCATTCGCATACCACGTTTGAGTCGCTTCTCGTTCCGTTTGTGCAGACAACAGCCGATGACAAACACGTTGAGGAGCACAACAACAATGCCGGCACCGACTCCGACCAGCAACATGGCCGATGTGCCGCCCAATGGGGTCTGACTGGTGGTTGGTGGTCCGCCACCCAAGGACGATGCCGGCTGTGAGGGCGGCGGCGCCTCTGCTTGTGTCCATTGTCCATTTTCCCATTTTACAGCAATGTCCATGAGGATGTTGTCGTTGTCGTTGTTGATGAGTGCATAATACAGTTCCAATTAAGTGCAGCAAATAGGTTAAACGGAGATCGTTGTTGAGTGCAAAGCGGGGAACAAAGACAATAAATAGCAGGCGAAAAGTTCTACGGTTCTACGGGCAATTCGATATGGGCATTTCTTCTGACGAGATCCAACCGAGACCAAAAAAATGCAATGTCTCCATCTAATTCTTTTGCGATATTTCAGTCTAAATTTACCCAATTGACATATAATTTCATTAACTTTGTTGTGAAAGCCCATTCAAATAAGCAAAAATTCACTTTTTAGATATTTTTTGGTATTTTTTTGTTTGGCTTTTAGTCATGTTTTTTCTATTACTTCTATCTCTTATAAAAAAGATGATTCTTGAGAAAAGTTATACCACAGAATCTTGCTAACATGTTGAACCAAAGACAATATTTGAATTAGATACATAACGCCATACGAAATTTTTGCACACGAATTTCTCAGGCTGGCTTTAGAGCTGGCTCCAAGCTCTCTTGAAATCTTTGCTATCTTTGCTTTCGTTTGCTCGCTGCTGGCAGCAGCTTCTAAGCTGCTCTCGTGCTCTAGCTCTTTCCAGTGTACGCTTTCGTTCTAAGCTGCTCTCGCACTCTTAAACTCTCTTGAACTCTCGCAGCTCATTGTAAGCTTCGTTTTGCTTGTGGGTTCCGTTCCCTTTGGTTCTATACGTTAGATGGGCTGCAGTTTTTCACATTTTAATTCCAATTAGGGAATTTTGTGTGGCATCCTATTCATCCTATTACTCATTCGCATGCCCATGAGATGATACATACGTTTCCTGGCAACTAATTACGCTGATTACAGCGTACCTGCCGTAAGGGCTGCCTAATTGATTCGATGCTGGAATCTAGTGAACCATTTCATGACAACAGGACCAGAGCCAAACCAAACCAAACCAGACCGTTGGATATAGACCCATAGACCATAGACCTTAGAGGCATGATTTCCGTGGGTATAAAAGCCAAATGGCGCACTTGCATAAATCAATGTCAGCATCGCTAGGAGTATCCAGTAACCAGGACTCGCGGCTAATTTGAATAAAACTCCTAGTCGCGCAGCAGGGGTGGGGTGGGGGCGGGGGCGTGTGCGCTTACCTTTGGTTTGGGCCCGCGTCAGGTCCGGCAGGTAGGCGCTCTGGCCGAGCTCGTTCCATGCCATCACCGAGAACAGATAGAGTGTATCCATGCGTAGTCCAGCGATGGTCAGCTTGTGGCTATTCGGCAGCCCATCAATGTACTTGTACTGCTCACGGTCGACGATTCTGCCAATGAGAAATGAGAAATGAAATGGGATGATGTTGCCGTATCAGTTGCAGTTGCAGTTGCATTTGTAGCTACAGCTACAGCTGCAGATGCGTAATGAATGCCACATACCGATATCGCACACGATAGGATGCCTTTAGGCCGCCATCGAAGCCCGGTGTCCAGGCCACAGTGACGGCATCGTGGGTCACATTCAGTATGTTGAGGCTGAGCGGTGGGTCCGGCTGTGATGTAATTTCCAGGCGCACCGTCTCAATGGTCTCGCCCAGCTCATTGCGGGCAATGCATTCGTAGGCCCCATAGTCGGCGGGCGCCACCTTGTCGACAATGAGGGAGGACTCGTAGGTCAGGGAGTCTATCTTGCGCTCCTCCACCTCGTACTTGTACGTGCGATTGATGGGCAGATCCTTCTTGTCCTGCCGCCAGATGAATTGCGGCTTTGGCGATGCCTGGGCGCGGCATGGCAGCCTGCCCCGCTCCCCCGTACCGCTGGCCGCTCGCATCATGGTCGGTGACTTGGTTATCTCCGGTGCAACTGCAACACAAGATTAGGTGGTTGGTGGGTGGCTAGGGATGGGTGGTGGCGGGGGCGTGGCATTGATTTCGATCACAACTTACACTTGACAACGAGCAGGACATCGCGATTGGTGGGATTGGCCACACGATTGTCGGCAACGCAACGAAAATTGCCCACATCCTCGCGCTGGGCGTCCTTGAGGTGCAGATAGGAGGTGCCATTGGCAAATTTCGTCGATGTCTTGACGGTCATGTCATAGCCCACACGCTCCCACTTGACATGCTCCTCGGTGAGCGGTTTGCCCTCGACGCTGCACGAGAGCACCGCCTCCTCGCCGGGATTCACAATGATGTTCTCCGACACGGTCTTGATGGTGGTGCCATCTGTGGGATGGAAGGAGCACGATTATTGAAGGGGCTGGGCTCTCTCTCTACACAACTCACATTCGACCACCACGGTGATGTTGAGGGTGGCCTTGCCCTGCGTATTGCTGGCGCTGCACGAGTAGATTCCCGCATCGTCACGATGCAGCCGCGAGAAGTTGAGACTGCCGCCGTCCGCAAAGATGCGATGCTCGCCGCCCTGCGGTATCGTGGCTCCGTCTTTGGTCCACTTGTACTCCACAATTGTGGGATTGGCCTTCGTCTGTAGCGCCACCTGCAGCGATTCCCCCTCCACGCCGACAGCTGTCGATGAGGGCGGTGGCACGAACTTGGGCCGATCTGTGGGATCCAAGGGTCGCTCAGTTTGTAATCTCTCTCGCCATTTAATTGCTCAATTAGCGGACTTACACAGGACATCCAGGCTGATGGCCTCGTGGACGCTACGCTGCAATGCCTCGTTGGCGCTCTGGCAGGTGTAGACGACGCCGTTCATTTCCTGTGTGATGTTCACCCTGAACTCCAGCGTTGATACTGTGCCGCCCCAGAGGCCCGGCTTGGATGTGTTATTAATGCCTGTGGATGGAGCACATGGGGCATTGTTGAAGCGAACCAAAAAGCAAATAGAAAATGGGCGTAATTTTGGTGACTGGCAAGCAGCAAACCGGATGCTGTCGCGTGGCAACGCCTCACAGCAGCAGCAGCAGAAGCAGCAAAAACAGACAGTCAGACAGACAGACAGACAGACAGAACAGAAAAGACAGACAGGGCGTGGTAAGTGCATCCATAGGCGGCGCCGTCAAGTCCATGGCGTTGCGAATGGGCAAACTTCCAATTTGCCAAAAATCGCCAAAGACTACGTACACATCGTACACAACATACCTTCAATGGGTATGCCATCCTTCCACCAGGACAACTTTGCCGGCGGATTGCTGGAGCTGGAGTCACAGATGATGGCTGCCTGCATGCCAGGTCGCAGCTCTTCCGGTTCAATGCGTATTTTGACCGTCTCCGGGGCAACTGTAACAGAGTCAGAGAAAGAGAGAAACAGGGAGAGAGGGCACAGCGTTGAGGTTGAATACAGAGAGCCAGAAATGTTACTGCCGGAATCTGCTTACAATGAACGCTTAGCGTGGTGGACTGCAGGAGCGGTATCTCCGTTGCGCTGTTGGAGGCCTCGCATCGATATTGCGCCTGGTTGTCCGTCACATTCGCCAGTATGGTGATTTCGGCCGAAACCGACTTGTCTGCCGCACGTATTACCGAATTGATCTGGCGAATCGGAATCAGAATGGAAAGGGAGGAGGGAGAACGGTTTTGGTTATTGTTACGGCAGAGCTACATCTCTGTGGGGCATTGCTGTTTAATTTTGTGGACAGACAGGAAAGTTGCACCTGCAACTGCCACACACACACACACACACACACACAGCTCTCATATAAGTATGCAACGGCAGCTGTTTGTTGTTTTTGCTGTTTTATTTACTATGTACTTGGAAAGGGTATTTTATGCTCTATGCTTGGGAAACATACGATAACTATGATAACTAGCTGTAGAATGGGATCTGGGATCTGGTACTACCATGGAATTGCTCAACTATCAAGGGAGCTATCTTATATCTGTGAAATATCAAAACTGTAGCCACAACAAATTCATTTCTCAGTGATTTTTACTAATTAACGGCTTTTTCCGGTTTTTTTTGGGGTAGTTTTTTTTTTTTTTTTTTTTTTTTTTTTTTTTTTTTTTTTTTTTTTTTTTTTTTTTTTTTTTTTTTTTTTTTTTTTTTCCTTTTTTTTTTTTTTTTCTTTTATTTTTTTTTTTTTTTTTTTTTTTTTCCCCCCCCCCCCCCCCCTTTTTTCCCCCCCCCCCCCCCCCCCCCCCCCCCCCCCTTTTTTTTTTTTTTTTTTTTTTTTTTTTTCCCCCTCCTTTTCCTTTTTTCCCCCCCCCCCCCCCCCCCCCCCCCAATTTTTTCCCCCCCCCCCCTTTTTTAACCTTTTTTTTTTTTTTATATTAAATACAGAAGTGTTGTTTAAACATCCATTTTGTGATTAAATGCATTAAAACTAAACGCATGCCAATAGAATTTAATGCTGTAGCAGTACTTCAAACTCCACTTTAAAAATGGATTAATTTTTGTTTTGTGAATTTCTAAATTTCTAATCGAAGTGCATTTAATACTTCGACTCATTGTATCGTGTTTGGCTTTAGCTGCATCATTCCTTTTTTTTTTCTATCCCTCGTCCACGATAAAGTTGCCCTGATAGTAGTTTGTGTCCCGCTTTTATTGGATACAGTTGGAGATAGAAATAGAAATGTCAGAGGTGTGAAACCCCCAATGGGGTACCGTGGTTCCGCGGTTCTGCTGGCTCATACAAAAGAGCCCCCCGGGGGCACAGATATGGAGAGATGTTGGCGGTTTTGTGTGAGGGGTGCTGGCCTCATTAGCACTTTAAGCCCATAAGGCGGAAGCGGAAATGGTCAACAAAAGCGCCATTATTGTTTTGCGGATGTTTGCTGTGGCCTGGGTGCTGTTGATAGTGCTGCAGCTTCCATGTGTGTGTGTGTGTGTGTGTGTGTGTGTGTGTGTGTGTGTGTTTGTTTGTGTGGGGGCACTACTGCAGAAAAAAAAAAACAGGGAGCAAAAAGGGGGGACACTCACCCTCTTGTCGTTTTTGTACCACGTGAGCGTCGCCAACGGATTGCCGCCTGATGAAACGCAAAGAAGTTTTTGCACAGAGCCCGCCGGTATAATTTGTCCCTCTATATAGCCGGAAATTAATGGCGGTGCGGGAGGATCTGCGGGAAACAAACAAACCAACAAAAAAAAAAAAACTCACATAAGAAAAACGTTTGCTGACGCAGAATGAGAGACTGCAAAAAAAAAACAAAAGACAAACAAAAGAGCAGCAGCAGCAGAATGTGAAATGTGGAATGTGGGAAGGCAACGTACAAATTTGTAGCCCAAAACCAGAAGAAGAAAAAAACTTGGCCACGAGGCCAACAAATTATGGCCTACAACAAAGCGGACTAGCTGACTACGAACAGGACCCAGGACCCACCGCTGTGTGCTGCTTGGGAGGGGAGGGCGGCCAAGCAATAAAAATTAAAATTATTTAATTTGCCGCGCATAAAGTACAAATATCTGCAGGGTGTCCGCATCCTTAAGGCGTCCTTGTCGAGAGCCTTGTGAGTGCTGTCCAAGGGCGGAGAGGCAGAGGCAGAAGCAGAGGAGGGCAGGCGCTCATTACCTTGGGGGCCTGTTGGTCATTTTTCCCAGAGCTTTGTGGATGGGCTCCTACATGGCAGGGGGATGGCGCTAAGAGTGGTATGGGCAATAAATGTAGATCTCCCTCTCTCTCTCTCTCTCTTTGTCTCTCTTTTGCTGGTCAGTGAAATTAATTAACGCTGCAGGAGGGCCGGGCCGGGCCGGTCCGGGCACAAAGACTATGCCCGTTGCCCGGCAAGGACATTTGGATATTTTTTGGGCACTTGCTGGGGCTGACTGGATAAACCGAAGCTAGAAATCGCAATTATTAATAAGCCACCACCGAAGCCACCACCCCCCCTGTCAGACACCCTCCCACTTTTCCCTGTAGATTATTTTATGTTATTCCATCTGCACAAGTTTTATATTTATTTCCGTATGTTTTGCCGCTTATAATTGAGCCAAATGAAGATTGACATCGAACATGGGGATAATGGAGTCGCAGGACACTTGCATTTTGTGTTGCGTGGCGACAGGCGTGTGCCGCCTGTCATGGCCATGTAGCCATCTAATTGGACCTTTATTTGTGCCCGACCGACCATAAAGATGGGTATAGCAAAACGATGGCACATCAAGGATTTATTATACAAACAATTTCGTTGACACGAGAGAGAAATACACAAAGAGATTTTGGGGTGGGGTGGGTTGGTGAGGGGTTAAGGTCAGCCTAAAGCAGCCCACAGCTGGTGAAGAGCAGACCACGACTGAGCTTGCCATTCTTGGTGCCATAGCTCTGGATGCATTCGCAGATTTTGCTGCCCTTGACAATGCGACCGAAGCCCACGCGCGTACCATTCACCACTGTCAGCGGCTTGAACGATATGGCAAAGGACAGGCGCTCGGGAAAGCCCGTGCAGTGCGATTTGCTGAAGGACAGCACATTATTGTATTGGCCGTGATCGATCACCTTGGCATCGTACTCGAGCGGCTGATGCAGCAGCGAGTCCGGCCCCAGCTGCAGTTCCGCCTCCAGCCAGAGATTGGGAAAGAGACGCTTGACCAGAAATTTGCCCGCCTGATTGCACATGCAGGAGCGCACCATCTGCAGGACGACCAGCGGCGCCGCCTCCGTGTACAGTTGCACCACAATCCGGCCCAGCGGTCGGGCATCCTTTAGGTACATATCAAAGTAGATGCGCGGCCGGAAGATGCGCTTGCGTTCCGCATCCGTTTCCGGCAGCTGTATATTGAAATCCTTGTACTTGGCCAGCGCCTCGAGTGGCAGTTCCAATGGAATTTCAGCGATTTTCTTTTCCTTATGGCCGGGCCGCGTCTTCTTGTCCAGGCCCGTGTCCACAATGCTTTGAACGTCCAGAATGCGCTTGCCCAGATCCCTATTCTCGCGCTCCAGCCGCTCCAAATTGGCAATGGCCATCGGTATGCCCGACATGGCGTATGTCTGCTCGTAGCGAAAGGGATTGACGGTGCCGTGGGTGCGCATAATGCGCGATATTTCCACCAGCAGCTGGATATTCTGCTTGGTGCGATTCATGAACACATACGCCTCGTCCCGCAGCCCATTGATGCCGGTGACGCGAGCGGCCTGAAATGTTGGCGGCTCTGCGTCCAGCTTACTGACGGCCTTCTTCACCCGCTCCCGATGCGTCTTCCACATTTTCTTGTAAATTTCCATGGTCGCCGGCATGCGCTGAGCCCGCTTGCCAGCCGCCTTCTTTATCGCCGCCTTCTTGCTGCTGGCCTCCAGTTCGGCGGCCAGTTTCATCTCATTGGCCAGGCGCACCAGCTCGCGCGTCGACTCGGACACGCAGTGCGGAAATTCGGCATATTGCGGTTGTCCTGCCATTTTGCAACAACAAAAGCGAAAAGGAAAAACTCAAAAAAAAAAAAAAACTAAACTAAACAAAACAAAACAAAAGAAAAACTTCTACGACGAAAACTATTGACACAAACTGAATTTTTGCTGTTTGAAGGGAACTAGCAGGTAACTGCCACTATGGGCCAGAGAAAAAATGGGACACGGGGCGGATTATTTTGGTTGTTAACTTACACAGAACATTGATCGTGTGCGTGGCTACCACATTCTCCGTTAGCTGCATGTTGAGGCCGTGACAAATGACGACCAGCGAGCGCTTGTGGGGCTCCACAATGGCGCTGATGTTGGAGGTGCTCGTCCAACCGCCTGCAATGACACGGGCAGAAACAGAAACAGAAACAGTCAGACAGAGATGGAGATGAATGGTTATATGGGGGTCTATGGCTATGGCTGTTGCCATCTGTTGCCACTTACCTTCGGGACTGATAATCTTGCTGAAGGTGGTGTTGCGCACCTGCCGTCCGCCCACCATCCATTTGATCTCAGCGGGTGGATTCGATGGCGCTGTGTTGCATGTCAGTGGCACAACATCGCCGACGCGCGCCTCAGTGGGTCCCATCACGGTGACGTGCGTGGGTGCAACTGTGTGTGGAATGGGAGAGTGGATTACGATAATGAAGAGCTCTTCATAGATGTTTCCCTAATTAGGTTAGCACTATCCCTGGGATATCAGCTATACCCACACCAGAGGGGGAGTACTTCGAACTTTACTGTGGCTAAACTCTATTGTTGCATAGACAGACTCTGAGTCTCTCTCCGCATTAAATGTCAGAGTATCCCACTGTTTCGTTGCTTTGAGCCTTTCTTTCTTGTGTCTCTAATAGCTTTTGGAGGTGGCAGGGAGTGTGCTGCTGCTGCTGCTGCCACACCAGTACCTCCTGCATGCAAATTATGACTGAGTGACTGACAGGTGTCCGTCCGTGCTATGGGTATATCCTCGTATCCCTGCCGTGCCGTGCGGTGCGGTGCCTCCCCTATTGCCGGTTTCTGCGTCGAGCAGCTATTACCTAATGCCAGTCTCAAAATGGCGAAGTGCCAGCTGCAGCATCTGCTTTTGCTGCTGCTGCTACTACTGCTGCTGCCTCTCTCTTGATGGATAAGTGCATATATTACGCATACGCAGCGTTTGCCGTTCGTTGTCTTCACATACATGTTGGGCGCGGGGGGCAGATGGCGATGGTTTTGGGGGCTGCCTTCCGTACACTCGATAGATGTTCCGCATATAAATAAACATTATGAATTCTTAACTTCTCGCATCCTTCGTCAGTTCGTGATGCTGCCATACATCTTCATTCTAGACACAGATATCGTGGGGGGGCTAGTGGGCGGAGGTGTGGCAGAATTGCTGATGCCACGTCTCTGTTTTTTGCTGTTCTTGCGTGGAGTTGTGCCCCACACATTCGTTATACATAAATAATGCGTGTGTGTGTGTGCCCGTCCACCCGTCCATCTGATGCTGGCTGCCACCGGATCTCTGCCACCGACTGTGGCATACTTATTGGGGCAAGAGTGATGTCTGAGCTGCTGCCCAACCCCCCCTTTCTGATTGGTATGCGCATAAACAGAAACTGGACAAGTTTGCGCTTCAGTTTTTCGCTGGGCACTCAAAAGAAGGGTACTGTGGCTGCCACATGTGGCCTAAAGACCCGCTACTTTACGTAAGAGTTGCCAATTTAAGCGCAGACTGCGGAGATACTTGAAATTTGAATACCGCAGCGGCACACGTCGAGGAGCGGCTGCCTAGGCCGCCCCCAAAGTGCCTTCAGTGTTCTTATTCATTTACATATTAGATATACACACACACACACACACACGCATACGTATATGCATATGCATAAGTAGTGGCAGCAGCAGCAGTAAGATGAAGATGCAGCTGCATATGTGCTTGAGGATGGGGGCATGCAAATGCATGCGGCTGTCTCTCTGTCTCCTCTGTCTTGTGTCTGTCCGAAGTGTCGCTAACGACTTTGGCACCGCGACTTCCCCCCATCGCCTGGCTTTGTGTCGCCTGATTGCAATTGTTGTAACTCTAACAAGCTGCTGCTGGAGCTGCTGCCTGGAGCAGCGTCAGCCAGGGTTGCCAACGCTATTTGGCACTTGAAAAGAATTTGCATTGCTTGATTTGACAAAGCCAAGTGGCAAAGGGGATACACTGAGAGCCAAGGAGAGCGAGTGAGAGAGAGGCTTTCAAAGTGCAAACTTAAGCTTAATTGCAAAAGAAAGCAACAGCAGAGCAATGCAGAGCAGAGCAGAGAGGAGAGAAGCTGCGTTTCCAGGCTTATTTCAGTCATGCATCCGCTGCTCCACACACACACACGCCACTCCCCCCCTCCCCTCGCCGTGTGTGTGTCGCGTGCCAAATGCTGTGCTTTAGGCTCTTGTGGAATTTTGAGGATGCTGCAGACATCCCTGGCTGTTGACACACACACACACACACACACAGATGAGTCGAAAGAGCGGCTGGCTCTATCCTGTCCGTCTGTACAAATATGCATGATGAGTAAGGGGCAAGAGGGTAAGGGGGCCAGGGGTTGGTTGCTTTTTGGAGAGCCTGTGAACTATCAGATATCGCTGTGTAGCCCGATACCCGAACCCCCCCCCTTGGTATTCTCAATGAGTCCCTGCCTTTGCCCCACCTTGACTCGGCTGCCTCGCGACATCCTTTTCGGTGAGCGCAGTGCACAATTAGGCATTTAGCCCCGCAGCTGCCTGCAGGAGACGACATCCTTTGATGGCTCCATTGGAGCATTGAGCGCGCTTCTCTCTACTTACACAGCACAGATAGATCCACTTCCGCCTTGAGCGGCGTCTGGGACATCACGTTGCTCGCCTCGCAACGGAAACGGGCCTTGTTGTCCCCAGCCTCAGCGGTAAATGCATATATATTCTCCGACAAGCGGCCAGCAGTTCTAACAGAGAGAAGGGAAAGAAAGAGAGAGAGAGAGAAAGAGAGAGCGGATATATGCCAGGGGTTATGTATGGGCTATATACTGTTACTCACCTGTAGGCCATGCGTATCTGGGATCCGTTCTTATACCAAATGAGTTGTGCTGGCGGATTGCCGCCGCGACTGCGACACATAAGCTCCACGCTCTGGCCACGCCTCAGTGTATCGCCCTGCGAATAACCCTCGATATAGGGCGGCCCAGGGGGATCTAAAAAATCGGAATGGAATTGGTTGCAGAGGGGGTGGGGGCGGCGGGAATTCATTTCGCATTTCTGTGTTTACAGTTGGCATATATTTAATTGCAAATTGCAAACTATTGCTGCTGATGCTGCTGCTGTTGTCCCGCAAAATAAATTCAATTCAATTTGCACTAAAGAAAAAGCAAAATGTGGCAAGTGGCAAGTGGCAAGAGAAAACAAACAATTTTTTTACAATTTGTAATTGCTGTGTGTTGCATGTAAATCGCTTTTGCGGTCATATGCATTATTTTCCAATTTCTCTTATTTATATGCTACCCTTGAAAGCAGGAGGGTATTATGATTTGGAGCACCGTATGCACCATGCAACCATGCAACATTGCGGTGCTCTCTCTCTCTCTCTCTCTCTCGTTGTTTTGTCTCTCTTCTGGCAGTGAGAACAACCAGAAAGCAGTACATTATCTGCAGGCAGATCTGACCGGGAGCAGCAAGCAGTGTTAGTTGCTCTCCTCGTTCGATCACATTGCGGTGCTCTCTCTCTCGTTGTTTTGTCTCTCTTCTGGCAGAGAGCACAACGAGAAAGCAGTACATTATCTGCAGGCAGATCTGACCGGGAGCAGCAAGCAGTATTCTCTTTGCCATCTCCTTCTCTGAGTCGTACACATGTACATAGATTTCTCTCTCCAGAATTTGCATGTATTGAGTGTTTGTTGAGAGACTTGCAAACCTATTATTATCTGCAGGGGTCCGTCCCACTGCTTTGAGAGCATCAAAAGCTTCGATTATCAAAGGACACCTTTTACTTTGTGGTTGGTTGTGGTTGTTGTTTTTATCAGCCTTTTCCTGGCCCTTTTGGCGGCTTTCTGTAATTACACTTGTTGTTGTGGGGGCGTCACGCTGGGCGGTTAATAATAGTGTAAAATGACACCAAACAGTGCATGAATACAGAGCCAACGACAGGCGTACGGACCGGACGGGACGGGACGGGGTGCCAGAGCATGGGGGGTGGGTACAAATTATAATTGACTTAAGGGAAATTTTGTGTGGCACTGGGGGAAATACTGCGCCGATTATTCCATTATCCATACGTTCCATGGGGTTTAAACTGAAAATGGCACCTCTTATCCGACTTCATAGAAAATGGCAAACAGATTTTCGCACAATCCTCTTAATACATATTTTCCGCTACAGGTGTTCGTTATCAGAACTTGACAAGCGGTCAACCGTGCTGAATAAACAGCAGCAGCAGGAGCAGCAGCAGGAGGCGGATCAGACGGCGTGGCAGCAGCAGCAGCAGCAACAGGAGGAGGTGCAGCAATCAGGTGAGGCATAAAAGCTGTCACACACACACGCATACAAAAAAACAGACACACACAGCCAAAGCGGCCTATAGGCCGGCCGACACTCTGGGGCAGTGCAGGTGCAGGCCCCTGCAGTTATGCAGCGGAAAATTAAATTAAAATCACTTGAAATATTGCATGACGGAAGGAAGGACAGAACAGGGGGTTGGGAGGGAGGAATGGCAGGCTGGACAGGATGGACTGTAAGGGATGCCGGGCAGGCCGAGAGATGCAATAATAGCGGCATAATTAAGGCCCAAAACGAGTGAGCCAGAATATGTAAAGCTCTGCCCCCGGAATGCGATGCAGCGGTGCAGCTAGCGTGAAGCGATTTTTGTTCGGTTCTTTTTGTTTGCCTCCCACCCACGCGGCGGCAGGAGGGCCAAAAGGTTGGCCAGGAGTGGGCCCCAGAACAGAGCCATTTGGCAGCTCAGCTGCCAATGCATAAATAACAAAACATAATTAATTTGAATGTGCGTTTGGCTGCGGCATGGGTGGGAGGAGGTCTGGGCAGGTGCAGGTGGAGCAACAATCAATAAGAGGACTCCCGGCCATGCCACACGATTCTCTCTTTGTGTTTGTGTGTGTGTGCGGCACAGCTGTGTGGCACATTAGAATTTAAAAACTAATTAATACGCGTGCCAATTGCGCAATTAGCGGCCTTCATGGCAAATGGCAATTGGGAAATGGCAGCCAGCCGCATTGGGCTGGGCTTGCTGCTGCCTGTGCCCGTGTCCGTGTCAGGATCGATGTGGAACCAAAAAAACACACACACAGCACACACACTTGTTCAATTGTATCTGAAATTAAGACAGCTAATGAGGTCGCATCCCCAGGATGCCCCAACCCATGCCACTCTAATCGGGTGGATGCGGAAGCGATGGCGCTGGCGCTGGCGGTGGCTGGCTACTCACACAACACGGACAGTTGCACGGTGGCACGCATGGGCATGTCCGGCGAGAGGGCCTTGTGCTTGGCCTGGCACGTATATTCCGTGTAGTCATCATCCGAGTCCGGCTTCAGCTTCAGGCTGGACGTAGTTGTCCATCGTTTCGGTATGGATTCCACCACCAGGTCATCGCGTTGCTCTGCAAGTAAAACGCCAAAAAAGAAAAAAGGTGAAGCTGTTTATGTTTGGATATTCAATGGTTTTATGGCCCCTTTTTTGGGGCATTTCTGACATCATTTTCAGTTATAAATTCAGAATGTGGGCCTGCCGCAGCTGCGCTCAAAAATATTGGCCCTCAAAAATGAGTGGTGTACAGCCCCCTCCCACCAACACCAACACCCCCACCACCAGGCAGCAAACTATCGTCATGGATGTGGCCCCAATGTCCATGCTCGTGCCCCTGTCTGTGGGGTAATCACCACAAAAGATGGCCGTCTGCCCACATTAACCGCCATTTACGCGTCTCTCCCTGCCCCTCCATTCACTGACAGCTTGCAAATGATACAAGAACCAGAACCTCATTCCATGCAAAAAACTGCCCATTGTCGTAAACCCTCGTTTGCGTAGCGTGGAGCGGTTGGATATTGGAGTCCGTCCTCCTGTTGCAGCACTCTGGTTCGTAGCGGTCCAGTCCGGTCCGGTTGGAGACTCTTCCTGCCTTCCTGCCTGCCTGCCTGCCTGCCGGCCTGCCTGCCACAACATATTGCGTCATAAACATAATTCATCATGCAGCTTCCTCGACTTCCTTCCGCTTTCCACATTTCCTTGCGGATTTTCCAACATTTTAACGCCGTTTTGCGAATTTTCTTCGTTACGAATATTTTTTGTTGGTTTTGGTTTTTGGGGGTGCAAAGCCTTTGTTTTTTATATGTTTAGCCAAACACACAAAAAAAATAAAAATAAAAAAAATAAGAAAATTCCATCATCATTCTCGTCCTTGTCCTCTCTGGGCCAGGCCAGGGCAGGCCATCGTGTTGGGTTGTCTACTCGTAAGCTTCACATTTTGGAGCGTTTTTAACGCGCCAGTTGTGCTAAAATGATTTCGTTAGTCGCCAAATGACAGCACCAAGCCTCCACCTACACCCACCAAAAAAAAAGGGGCATCAGGCACATTCTGCAGCTCACCCACAGCCACAGCCACACCCACCACGCCCACACCCACAGCATGTAAGGTTGGGGGCCACACACATACCCATAATCATTATGAAAATTAAAAGTCGTGAAGGCGGCGACTAAACGCCGTGTGATGGTGGCCGTCCGTCCGTATCCTTCAGCCATGCTGACATTTGCATTTTTCCATATTTTCCGTGGCAGCCTGGCTCTGTTTTCCAATTTGCCGTTTTGCCGTTTTACCGCTTGCCGACTGCCCGGCAGCGGCTAAATGACAAGGCAGAAAAACACGGCTATACCCATGCCACAGTGCCACAGTGGCACAGTGGCACAGCGACGGTCGAGCCTCAGAGCAGATAAGGGCAAAACATCGACAGTCGACCGCTTTGTTGGAGTATAAAATTATTATTTAAGCACCGTCATCAAGCCGAAAGTCAACGTCCATTTTCCCCTGCCCCTCCTTCACGGTCGCTCTGTCTCCCTGTCAGAGCCTACCCTCATCGTGCCACAGCATTCACATGTGTGGCATGGCCGAGCAGTTGACAGCCTGACAGCAGCATTGCCCCACCTTCACGTGGCAACCGGTTCATCCTCATCCGCACTTATCCGCACGCAGATGCTGGAGAGGATAAACCCATAAACCCATCCCCCCGAAAAACCCATTTACACATTTCGTATTCTGTATTCCATATTAGAGTATTTTATGCCAGCTAATAGAAGGCACCCCTCCGCTACTTTACCCCCCCATCAGCACACCCTTATACAAATCGTATTTCTTTTGTTTTTCCGTGTTCAGTGCCGAAATTAGCATCTGGAACAATGCCATTAAATCCAGCCGATTAAATTCTATTTTTCACACTCTGAGAAACTGAGTAAAAAATGGAAAATATTCGTAGTGGGTAGACAGACATCTTTGGGATATATCCTTACTCCTACCCAAACGGATGGAATTATTTCTATTAGTTTTATGTTTTATTGTTTTTTTTTTCTCCTTCACTTTCACTTCTATGTTCTATCCTCTGGCCTTAGGATCATTTCTACATTTGTTTTCTTTTATTCATTTATTCCCAAAGGTAGAAAGTGTATTCCAGCAACGCTTAGTCTCGGATTGGATCGCTGTCTGTCTGTCTTGTTTGAAACCTTAAACCTGATGTCCACGTGGGTAGGGGTCCTGGAACTACAACTACTACTAACCTGGCTTGTATTCCACATTGCCGCGATACCAGACAATTTGAGCCGCCGGCTTTGCATTGGCCACAATGCACTTGAGCTGCAGGTCCTGATTCTCACGCACCTCCACCTTGGAATTGTGGCTGTAACCTTTGATCTCGATCGAGGCAGGCGGAGCTGTAAGCAGAGAACCGATTAGATGTTGCAACAAACGCTTGTACCGTAGTATATAGTAAGAGTATGAGGTATATATGTATGTATGTAGGTATATAATGTATATTTAGTGCAGCCAAAACAAAGGATTAACAGAGCTTTGCTCATTATGGTCACAATGGCATTACAGACGTCGTTCTTGCAGCGTGAGTGGCAAGTGGGGCATGGGTATGGGTGTGGCAGTACAAAATGTATTGTCTGTGTGTGTGTGTGTGTGTGTGTGTGTGGGAGAACAGAGACGACATTGTTGTTGAAGGCTCAGGTTGAATGGCCCGTGTGGCACCCGTGACTGGAACATGTCCTGGAGAACGTACACATAGAGGCAGCCGAATCTCCCTCTGCTCTGCTCTGCCCTCCTGTGTGCCCCTCGTTAATGTGTTCAAATATGAGTTTCAATATTTGCACACCCGTAGAGGAGTCCCCCGAATGGCAGCCAGAGCCAGTCTGAGTCTCTGCGTCCGAGCCTGAGCCGGAGCCTTGGCAAACTGTTGAAATATACACGACGAGGCAACGAAACAATGCACCCCCCCCCACCGCCGCTGGGTGGGTGGGTTGCACGCGTATGAATGCAGAAACAAACAAACGAATGAACGGGGGGGAGGGATGGAGTGGACTGGAATGGGATGGGAAAACACAAACACGGAGCAACGTGGATAAAGTTAAGTGCACGTGTGCATTATTTTAATGCCACCTGAAGGAGTTTTGGGTACCCCGAAGCAGAAGCAGAAGCAGAACCTGGCCATTGCCATTGCATTTCCTTTTGCAGCAGCAGCACTAAGCAGGTGCCTATGCCACGCCCCCAACCAACATCCCTTACACTCGCAAAAAAAAAAAAAAAAAAAATTGAGATTCCAGCATCAACTTTTGGTGCAGATTTGTGTGCTAAATACAAGCAGCAGCAGAAGCAGCAGCAGCAGCAGTGTAATTTTGCACAGTGTAGGGCAAGGAAAGCCAAGCTGCCGCCTGCCGCCTGCTGCCTCAAGTGAAGAAACCGTTGCATAGAGAGAAGTTCTGCATTTGACATGCAACATATGTTGCCGTCTGTTGCCTCCGCGAACTCCGCTCCATCCAGAACTTGCGTTGCATGCCAGATGAATGCTTAATGTCGCACAAGGAGCTCCTTGCCAGCGGTACTGTACCTTCTGTGTACTCCCTGGCTGTTCAAGGGGGGGCGGGGGGACTAAGATAGGGCGTAGGGCTGGTGTCTGGGGCTGTTACTGTTGCCATGCTTAGAGGTAATTGCTTATGTTTGAGCCGCAATATGAAATCAACACCGCAACGCGAACAACAAGTTTAGTCCTTTGATTTGGTTTTGGGATCGCCGTAGGGATCCTTAAATTATTATGCACAAATCAAATAAATAAATGAAATTCAGCAATCAAGGGACACGACACACACACACACACATAAACAAAGGAATATTCTTCATGGCTGGGCTGAGAGCAGCAAAAAAATTCCGCTCTCATAAGCATAATTTGTGTTGGCTCTCCATGATTTTTGGTGTCCTTTTCAGAGGACTTTTGCTTTTGCTGATTACATAAACAAACTCACACACAAACACACACACACACATTTATGCCGCCTAGATACGATATATTCCTTAAGGACACCCAATAGGTGGACATATACATATTTAATAAGCTTTACATAGTTTTCGTTCAGGGGGCGACCATCTGCTGCCGCTCCACAGCAACTTTTCGGGAGTTTTGTTTATGAACGAAATGTGTGTGTGTGTGTGGTGGCTGGCGGCAGGGGGAAATTGATTGATTTGATTAAAGTGAAAGCTTGCGAAGAAGTTCTGCAATCTGAGAAAAATTGCACTTTAATTTAAAGTGTTTCTCACATTATTTTCTTGCATGCATATGCAGGACATATGCATCCCTCTGTGGGTCTGCTTACATTTCCCATTATCTCTGGCACTTTCTTGGCAGTAGTATCTACTTCATTCCTTTCTCATCCATGCTCTTGTTGTTCGCTGGGAAAAGCACTCTGCCTGAGGAATATGCCAATGGCAAGATGAGACCACACTGGCAGGTACTCAGGCATCCTGGCATCCTGGCAGCATGGCAGTCAGGCATCAGTCCCTGACTAAAGGCTTTGTGTCACCGAAATTGGTGTCGTCCTGCCAGGCTGCAGGACCGCCCGTGGGTTACGTGCATTGGAAATTCATAATATTTGGCACATCGCAGCAACGGTAGAAAAATGCGGCATAGTGTGGCGGTTGGATGTGGCACAACGTTGTGTGTTGCATGGTTAAAAAGCGAAATGTATGCACAATATACACACACACACACACACACATATGATATTTCCTGGCAAATGCAACTCGATTTATGCCAGTATCCTGCAATCCAGAGGTGGCACTGCAAGGCACATACATACATACGTGTGTGTCTGTGTACATTTTTGATTGGTATGCAAATTGTATTTGATTATTGACATATGCACAGGTAGGGGTGCGCTGCAGTGGTGTGGGTTGGGCTGGGTTTGCGTTGTTTTGTGTTGGTCAAGTGTTGCACAGGACTGATAAGAATTTTGCCAAAGGTGGAATGCCTTATTTTACAAGGACAATTGAATGTATCATAGAGAATGGCTGCCCCTATCTCTACCACCCCGCTGCAGGCCCATCAACAATAGAGGAGTTTTGCCTGCGACATGGGGTGTCCAGTAATTTTCAGAAATAAATTGTATGCTGCACAATAAGCAGCTTCCAAGGCTTTAATATCAGCTTCTGCTTTAAGGCAGAACCTGGTGCAGGTCTTTGATCGCTGAGCAAGTCTATTGGAATCCTTTTTCAGCTCAAAAAAGTTGATTGCATTTTGTTGGCCAAGTGCCGCGTCCTACACATGGAGCCATAGAGCCAGCCAGGAGTGTCCATGACACTAGAAACCCTTCTTTCCCTACCCTTTCTGTTTGTATTGGCTCTCCTTTTGTGCCCTCGCATATTGGTGGCAGTTGCTTTGAGTTGTACCTTTGGCTGGGCATCAAATAATTTATGCAACAATGAATGCAATAACGCTCCTACGATTCCTGCCACTGAAGGGCTACACAAAGTGCAATTTGCCATGAACACTGAGCACTGAACACTGAACTCTTTTTCGACTCTACCCCACTAGGGCGGGGCGTGGCGCTGCGAGGTGGGGTGGTGTGACACCCCACTAATAGTACGCCTCATAAAAGTTTTATGCGCTGAAATACTTTCGTTGCCCTCTTCCCTGCGTGTCCTGCCACCAACCACTTTTAACCCGGTCCAGTCCAGCGCCCGAAGAAAAGCCAGAGTTGGTCATTTTTTTGTTTTTGTTCTTTTGACGTCCACTTTTGAAGTCAGCAGCTGGTGGGCGGTGGGCGGCGGGGTAGGGGCGGTAAGCCAATGTTGCTTGAGCCATCGCGGAGCTCAGTCACACCCAAAGTGCGGCCCCCAAGGCGTTTTGGGGGTCCATGGACATGGACGGGCTTTAAGGTCAGCTTCACATAACAAATGCTGGGTGATATTTCTTTTGGGAAAGCCGAGAGATGAAAACTTTCCTCATTTGCACTTCAATTACAAGACAAGGGGGCCACACAGAGAGAGAGAGAGAGAGGTAGAGAGTGAGGAAGAGACAGAGAGGGCGAGAGAGAGTGTGTGTGAAAAATGTGCAGACATTTGAGAATCAATGAAGTGCGTCTATTGGCCAAAAATCCGGCATTCAGTTGAGCTAACTCCACCCGCACACCCACACTCCCACTCCGAATGGGTCTTAAATTTGTGCAGCTTTGTATTCAAATATATATATCAAATTTCAAAGAGGTGTAAAGCGTGGAGTGAGGGGTGTGGGGTGGCCTCTAAATGTGGTGCAAGCATATCCATTCTTTGCCAGAATTTCGCATTGCCATTGTGTCTGCCGCTGCTGCTAAAAAGTTTCAACTCTTCCCTGGACCACAGGACTACTCGCTAGTGGACCTGGACCTGGACCTGGACCTGCACATGGACCATAGAGAGAGGAGGAGCCTTGCGGCATATGTGCTTTTGGCTCTATTATTTCCATTTTTTTTTTTTTCTTTGTTCTTTTTGGAATTTTTATTTGCAAATTAATGGCATGCGAAAATGTTCTGTAAATTTCCATAAATTTGCAGGTGGACTTTTGTGTGCAAAAGTTCTTTACTTTGCCAAACTTATAATCTAATTGCGGCCTCACCACGTACATATATTATATACCTTATATACATATGTACATATGTATGTGTGTATCTAAGCATACCACACCGTGCGCTAGAGTATGTGTGTGGGTAGAATAATGTTGAAACTTTTACATAAGCCCGGGAGGGTCCCAGGTTACATCCAAATTGGCTCCCACAGAAGCTTTTGGGTACTTGGTCTACAAATTAAATTTGGACAAGGAAAAAAGTTGAGTGAATTTCAATATTTATACAGCATCTGGTCAAAGTTATAATCAAAAAAAAAGAATTGACCAATTATGAGAAGCGAATATGGGTAATACATACATAAGGGAATGAACTTCTAATACAAAATAACGAATTGGGTATAAGCAGTCGAGGCACTCGACTCTTTGAGTCTCTTGTAATAAGGTGCCGGACATGAAAGCTTAACTACAAAGCCACCTTGGCAGAGATAGAACACCATATTACATCATTATTTATATTATTTATATTTATATATTATTTGTCATTGGGGTTAATTGGGGTACATTTTTATCCGAAAACTAAATCATGAAATTTTGGAAAAGTTTGGCCTTTTGGTTTCCGAAATATTAAACACATTTTTCCATTCATATGTTTGCCTCTCCTGCGGATGGGATATTTACAATGAATAGAATATATCCATACATAATTCACATACACAATACCCTCAGAAATGCATAGCGGTGGAAAACTGTGGAACACAATGGAATGAAAAATACTTGCGGTTAGTTTATGTCGAAGGAAATTTACTTGGATTCCCCTCCTACCACTCAATTGGTGCAGAACATCACCTTTGGGGATAAATCAATTTAATGTAATTCGAACTTAATTGAATTATTACGCATTTGTCCACATTTCCCTTTGGCTAATTGCTGCAATAATGTAGCACGTGCCTCCCTGCCACATATGTACATTTTCGCCCACTTTGTAGCACCGCATACCGTCGACTGGCGGACAGACACATGTCATCTTGACTGTGTACCAGGACCAGGATCGGGGGCCAGACCCATACCCAGACAAGCATTCCCTACCATTACAAAGCACAGGCGAATGGCAAAGGGACGCTTGATGGTGGGTGGGCATGCCGGCGGGACTCGCACAAGTATCCACAATTATGACAAACATTCCGTGCGAGGAGGAGGCGACCTTTTGCCGCACCAACACCAGCAGCACAATTACTAACAAGCCAAGACACATGCCCCAACCACAGCACCACCCAAAGTCTCCATCCGTATACCATATACCCTGGCAGAGGGCACTTTACTTCGGCATATATCGACATATATTATGACAATGTGGAGGAAAATTTCTTGACATTCCGATTTGAGGTCAAATCTTCTGCTGGCAAGCAGATTGACACAAGCTTATTACAATTTCCAAAAGAAGGGTGTACGCATCTCGGTGTAATTTAAATACATACATTTATGTAACTTTTTTCTTGATTTCTTTTATTCTCCGCCAGGGCTTCTTGTGCTTCAAATTACACACAATCACACATACACATTGTCACAGCTCATGGCGCGTAATTAACTAAACAAACGTCATTAGACATGCGCATGTATGTGTGTGTGAGTGGGTGGGGTGGGGTGGGGTGGGAGTGGATGGGTGTGCTAGCGAGCCTTGGGGGCGTAGGGCTCGTAGTACATGTGTGTCGTGGTAGCCAAGAAGTGCAGACATTGAGACCAGACCAGACCATGGAGCAGCATCTCACCTCCCCTCTTCTTCTCTGGCGTGTCTGTCAAAGAATTTCTTTAGAATGGCAAGGAGAAACGGAATAAGACAAACGAGGCGCACCAAATGAGTATCGCTGTCATCAAATGTTGAGAAATTTCTTGAGTGATTACAACAACAGCAGCAATTACAACAACAATAAGGAAAGTACGCACATACATGTGTACGTATGTCTTTATGTATGTATGTACATTCAAAGTGATTACTCGACGGGCGGACACAGCAGCATCAGGCCCAAAAACAAAAAGGAACAAGGAGAGAGAGAACACCAAACGGAAAAAAATTCATTTCAATTCAGTTGTGCGCTTGCATGCAAGATATATTTTAAAGGAAGGTAAGGTAGTTCTCTGTTTCTTCAACAGCATTCCAGACTTTGCATGAATTGAATTTGCATGTGTCAGTGAACTGCCTTACCTTCTATTTGCGCTATACCTTGCCTGCAGCCAGAGAGTAACTGTAACTCTCTTTAGCTTTAGCTCTCTAGCCCTCTCGCTCACCTCACCCGCAGTGTTCACAGCACAGTTTCTGTCGTTGCTCTTCTCCTTGATTCGTTAGCTCCTTGGAGCAATAAACTGCGCTAAATTCCTCTCCTCTCCTCACCTGATGTTGTTGTTGCTGTTGTTGCTTTCGCAAATTGCTGACAATAAATGCTCTGGCATCGCAGCCAGCAACAGCGCAACAGCGACAAATGCTGAAGTGGGAAAGGTAAAAATGTGCTGGTAGATGTGCAAGCGGGAAAGGTAGTAGAGGGAGCTTCGCATTTAAATTTCACAAGCGACAATTCTCTCTAGGTGCAAGGAGCAGGAAAAAGCACGACGCGTGTTTGGGTGTGTGTGTGTGTGTGTGTGGGACAGTGTGTGACTCGTTGGCGTGTGGCGCCCCTGGTGACAAATTCATTTGTATTTATTACTTAAATTAATTGCAGATCCAGAAAACAGTGCAATGGAAAATGTGCGAGTGCGAGTGCGAGCGCGAGTGTGAGCGGCAAGGAGTGACCCAGAAAAAAAAAGTTTCGAACTCTGTTGCTAAGAGAAATTAATGGAAATTAATTGCATCGCATCGTAAATTGCTGACGTAAAAACAACAGCTGGAATTCTTGAATCAGGTGAGAATTCTTAATCATTTTATAATCAAAGTGCTAACAGTTCATAGCGTTATATATTACATATACACATATGTATACATACATATGTACTCCACTTAATTAAATAAATTAAATTAAATAGATTAAATTAAAAATAAGAAAAGGGATTGAAGGATTTATCACTATGATATTTCGTGCTGCCAAAGAATTTTATTTTACTGTGCACTTTTCTACTTAGAAATCAAATATCGTACTTACATATGACAGTCAGTTTGGCATTTGCTCGGATCGCAGAGTTGAGGCGGGCCGGTCCCACCTGGCACTGGTATTCCGCATCATCGCTGGTGGAGGCATTCGAGATGCGCAGATTGTAGACGCCCTGCTTCCGGTCGCCGAGCACTGAGTAGCGCGGAAAGCCCGGTATAACGGCGGAGAAGCCCAGGGCGAAGCCATCCTTAGTCCATTGCACGGCACCGGCCACATTGGTCACCTCGCAGCGCATCATGGCCTCGGCGCCCTCGAGTACTTGCAGATCGTGGGGCGTGGTGCGGAACTTTTGCTGCTGGGCGTGGCAGGGGGCGAGGCCGGTCAGGGACAGGGCGATGACAGCTGAAATGTACCATAAAACACACACACACACAGAAAGAAAGAAAGAGAGATTCATTAGAGATGCAGTTAATTAATTGTCCTTGGGGTCATTTGTTTGTGTTTGGTCCGTGGTGGTCTGGTCTGGTCTGCTATTCCGGATTCCGGACTCCGTACTGTTCCGTACTGTCTGTCGGTTGCTCCATTAAAAACGTGACTTTCTATCACGGAGCGTCGTCGTCTGATGAATTATGAAATATGTGTTTACTCAAAGAACGGGACCCCACGCCAGTCAGCCAATGCAGCCTCCTCTCAAAGCGTATCCTGACCGCAATAAAACGGGAAATTCTTCTGTCCTCAGACAGAACCACTAAGCCCACATAGCCATATAGCCCATAGCCCCCCCCGCATACCCCCGCACATACCCTCATCCAAAATCCCGGGGCTGCAGCCCAAGACCCAGCCTCAGTCTCAGCACCAGCCGAACTTTGACCATTTTCCCGCAATGGTGAAGTTTTTCTGCCCCTCTCTCGTCCCATAGGCAGGGGTTTGGGGTCCGTTTTTTTTAATGAAAAACAAACACAAAAAGCGTTTGCCGTTCCACAAAAGCCAATTGTGGGTGTGGTCCGTGTCCGGGTCTGCGTCCGAGTCCGTGTCCGTTGTCTGTTTGCCAAGACACATTGCAGTCTGCAGTTTTGGAGTTCATTTCTTTTGGCCGCCGCCGAAACTATTAAATTGTACGAGCGCGGGGCAGGATAGTTGCTTTGGTTGCACCGAGGTGGCAGGGACAGGGGGAGGTAGAGGGGCAGGGACCGGATTGTGGTTCTAGTCGCGCATCTAGAATCAACAAAAGCATTTAACGCCGAGCCTGACGCTGCAGTGGCAGTTGTTTTTAGTGTCCTGTGCAAAAGCCCCACTACGCCCCATTACGCCCCACCACACACCATTGTCAGCACCCACTACGGCCGCCTGCCGCCTGCCTCCTGTCCGCTTGTCCCTACTGGGATGCCGTTTTCCATTCTTTGGAACGAGCATTTCATTCGCGTTTTCATAAATTTACCAGCAGAGACCATAGTTTTCTCTCTCTTTCTCTCTGTGGCTGTGACTCTTGCCATCTCTTTCTCTGTTTATTTATAAGCTACAAAATGCAGTATTAAATCTGGCTAACACCCTGGCAGCCCCATCCGCCATCTGGCAACCCTCTCGGGGGGTAAAAGAAAAAACAAAAACACTAAACTCTGGCAATGATTAATATGGCCCACAATTTGCATACGCATCATGTCTGAATGGTTTGTGAGTGAAAATAGAGTAAAGGGATAGAAAGAGAGAGAGAGAGAGAGAGAGAGAGAGAGAGAGAGAGAGAGAGAGAGGGGAATATGCGTGGGCGGGACAGTGATGAGTTACCCACTGGAGAGTGTGGAGAATGGAGAGCTCAGGGGAGGACATAAATGAATTTTAAATAAGAAAAATCTCTCCCTGCCCACAGTTTGGCTGGGCTTGGAGCTCTCTCAGTCGTTGCCAAACTCTTTACGATTTCATTATTTTCCCTTTCTTTTTTTTTTGCCACCCCTCCCCTACCCCACACACACACACACACTATATAATTTGTTTGGCAAAAGAATGTGGCAAGAACAAGCTCGGGAAATCAACAACAACAAACAACAACAACAACATCAATTCGCCCTCCAAATTCGCTCTCAAGGCACCCTCCCCCCACACGTCTATTCGGCCACGATAGATGTTGTCGAACCAGCCAGCAGCATTACGGGCAATTTATATAAATTTTCTCCGAATGGCAGTTGCAAAGGGGATGGAAGGAGGTGGGTCGGAGGGGAGGTATGTCAAACACAGACAGAGAGCAAACTGAAGGACCTGGGAACCCTTGCCAGCAGCAACAGCAGCAGCAGCAGCAGCAGGAGCGGCAGACAAGGATCAGCATAACCTTTGGGCCTGTCGCAAATTTTTGCCTATTTCACAGACACACACACGACACACCATGAGAGTGTGTAGCAAGGGCTGGGGCAAGAGTTCATAGTTGAGTAAATTTTTACCTCATTCTTGGAGGAATACTTTACCCCAGTCCCCAAAACCCACGCCCCTTCCCCTGCCCCTGCCCCCGTGCTCCGTACATTGTTCATGGCGCCCTTGGGTCCGTGATAGCGGATTTGCCGCTACATCTTTTAGCCTTCTTATGCGTTGTCGTCGTTGTCTCTCATATTTTTCAAGCGAAATATTTTAATAAAGCAAATTCCTATTTTACGGCCTTGTACGAGTATCGCTCTAAAAAGAAAAAACACCCACCCCAGCAACCCCCAGCCACCATCACAGCAAACATTAGGTTGAAATTAAAGCGTGAAGCGCCTCCAAACTCTATGCCATGCCATGCCATGCCACACCACACATCGTTCCATACGTCATACGCAGTGTTGTCCCCCGGAAATAGTCGAAATGGAAATTCACACGCAACAAGCAGAAGAAAGTGTAGGGGGGAAGGAGGAAGAGTAGCAGCAGCAGAAGTGGCCGCCAGAAGAAGGCTTCAGACAGCCGAAAGTGCGAAAAGGATTTAAATGCTTTAGGCGACGCCTTTTGACCCAGCCTTCCCTCCACCCCGGACACCGCCCAGCTGCTGCCTCTTTCTCCGGGGTAACGTCAAGTGCCATTGTCGAATTTCTCTGCCACTTGAGGGGCTGGTGTGTGTGTGTGTGTGGGGCGGCAGGACGTGCGTGGTTTTTAGTGTCGCGTTCTCTTGATTGTTTTCCAGGCTGGGGTTAAAACAACAGCACATGGGAGCAAAAGGAGGCCTGAGAGCCATAGCGAATGGTGCCACCGCACGCATGGATGCAGACAAATCCCGGCCAGGGCAGAGTTCCATCCCGCCTCCCCCTAAAAAAAGGGTTCGCTGGGTCTTGGGTCTTGTTTTACGAGCAGGAGGACTATCAGTGTTATTGTTATGACTGAAATTTGATGGCCCCAACCACTCTCAGACACAGTCCACGCTCCAGTTCCAGTCCCCTCTCCAGCCCCAGCCCCAGCCCCAGTTCGAGTCAAGAGTGATGTGTAGACGGACGTACACCACAAGGTACGCCCATCTATCTGGCCCCCTTGATAAGATTCGTTCCAGGCAGTTATCTGGCATGGGGGCCTGAGCTGATTAAGCCGCCCGGGATCGGATTAATCAGAGTGACACCTGAGTAGCCTTGCCCCGGATCCAGTTGCCACACACGCACACGAGCGCGCGCGCTCTGGGATCTGCTGCTGCTGTGACATTTTCACACATTTAGCACTTGAGTTTTATTTGTTTTTGCGTTTGCTTTTGCTTTTGCTTTTGGCTTTAAATGCTCTCACGTTTTCCGGATTTTGGTGTATGACGATATGACAACCCTAACCCTAGAGGGTTGCCAAGCATCGTTTTGGTGCTTAGCGAATATGCCCCGCGCCCCCCAACCAGACGCGTATTAATTTGACGATTATGATTTTACCAGAGCAGGAGATAGAGAGAGAAAAAATGGACATGGACTTTATTCTTATAGATAATCCCCTCACCCCACATGCCAACTTCTTTTTTTTTTTTTTGCCTGCGCTGTGGGCGTGGCCACACGTAGATTGCCAAGAAGAAGCAACAACAAAAAAAAAAAAAGAATTTTCGCTGCTTCAGCATATTGTCGCAGTACATCCGCTGGCCTTCTCTTACCGAGCATCACCGCCACGCCACCATCAATCGAACAAGCACGGAGCTGCGGAGTCTTTTTGGGGGCTGGTGCTTTTTTTTTTTTTTGGCTGGCTTTGGGGCTGCTTGTGGCACGCCCCCTTGTCAGCAACGTGCTTGGCATTTGCATGGAAAGCAGATGATGTTACCAAGACACAGCGCAGCATTTGTTCAAATACGATATAACAATAGTTGGAGCGACATTTCCGTTCTAATGGTGCATGCTGCTTGCTGCATGACGCATTCTACTTGCATGCCAGCCAGCAGCATTGGGGGGTGGGGGGCAGCTACGTGGAACGTGCCACTCCCTATTAGCATCATCATCGATCTGTCGAACCATTTTCCATTTCCCATTTCCCCTTTTCAACTGCTTAATTTTGAAAGGGTTTTAAATCGTTTTACATCCCCACAGTCCTTGCGCTGCTGGGTGGTCTCTGAGTGATAGCAGCGACAAGCAGTGCAGCTGCCTCGATTTGGGGTACAGCTGAAGGACTTTTATGGGTAGCTGCGGCATCGCATTACACAGGAGGACAGAGAGAGAGAGAGAGAGAGAGAGCGAAGGCTTCGAAATGATTTGTCTGTGGGCCCCTAATGGAAATCCAAGTTAGATTGCTTACAGTTCTGCTGTGGCTGCTGCCACTGCTGCAGTGGCAAGCAACAAATTGCAATTACTGGCAACACTTTGCCGCACCGCAGGCAGCAGGCAGCAGGCAGCAGAGGCTTCCCTCTCTCCCTTCATCACCGTTCACAATGCGGCAGGACGAGCAGGAGCCTGCTGGTGGCGGCTTCAGCATTATTAACATCATCAACGACGGAGCGTTTATTAAAAAGTGTGTAAAAGAAGCTAACCGGCACCTGCTGGTCGAGCGCGCGCACTGGAGCTTGCACCTGGCTGCCACTAGCAGCCTCTCGACCCTCGACCCAAGGACACCAGACAGCTCCAGCCGCAGGAGGAGCAAGTTGCAGGCCGCACTGAACAACAGTTTAGTAGTATAGTAGTAGTGGCACATAATTTGCAACTTGCGCTGCGTAGAGCGGCAGCAGTTTTATTAATAATGCAACACAGTTTTATTTATATTTTACGAGTATTATTACCTACAGTTTGGCAGTCACCTGGGTGGCGCGGGTGGTGGACTGTGTTACTGTAGGACTGCTCTTCCTAATTAAAATACGATTCCGTGTTTTGTGGTGCTGCTGAACCTGCGGCAGAGCAACTTTCTGCCACAACATTCTTTTCGCGGTTGTGACACGACTAAATCAAATGATGTTCCTGGGTAAATTATGGCATCATATTTCTCTCACATTTTGCATAGAGTAT